CTAAAACTGTTTTCATATGCATTAGATTTCATGTTTTTCTGTTGTGGGAGTTTCTGTTTCAAAACTTACTGCTTTAAAGTACAACCTAACTCATCGTCACAACATATATGTCAAAATGACTTATTACTAATTCTATATTGTTATCAGAGCTGTAACTTGACAGTAGAACTTACTATGTCAACCTGACTGACTGATTGTGGCTGCAGGTGTTGCTTTTCATGAAGCACTACACGCACACCCCCCCCCCCCCCCCACAAAAAAATTTCATTGAAAACCATGCACTTTTTTACGATTTCGGGCCAAAAAGAGATTTGAGGTCAGAATTGAAAATTTGAACCCTTCTCCCTGAAATGTAGTTCTTGTATAAAAATTCCCTACTGTTTGCTAATTTACCTCTTTAACAATTATCAATTTCACCAAAAGACATCACATTTATTAGTTTTTTTCTAGAGAAGCTTAACCAGTAATATATTATTGTTGAATTAGTTTTCCTCACATTTTCATTTATGGCTGTTAGGAGATTTATTGCTGGAGATTATTCATATTGATCATTCACATTAGCTCTCTCCAAATGAATCAAAACTCTGGACAACACAATGTATCACCTAGGTCAATTCCTCACTCAAAAATCATTAATTTCGCTTGGAGATTGTCAGCACATTAAATTGAAGAGGGTGTTATTGGAAACTGCTCAAGGAAGAAGTGACTATCAATATCACTTGGCAGCTAACTACCCAGAAATCATAGTATGATGCTATGGAAACGAATGTGTTGTTACATAGTCTTACATGTTATACATAGTTCAGTTCAATTGTAATTGTGCATTACAGGTGAATTTTGTTGAAAGAAATAAGAAATGATGATGTAACTGTAGCAGATGTTGTTCTCCAATATTTTAGTTCCGATCTTCAAAGGTATGAAAAACAAGAGTGTGAAATACTGATATTCACAACAGATATTTAGTATGAGAGTCATGGCTGGGGTTGGATATGGTAGATATTGGTATGATACATGGTTTATTTATTATAATAAGGAATATTTATAATTTTTATCAAACCTTTTACATTGGTGATTCATAAATGAAACGAGTTTTGTCAGATTATCATAACTTAATCAATCATAACCTACAAAAACACTAATCATCAATATTTTCTCATAGGCTCTGAGCAGAATTCAACAAAGGAATCAATTAGTCCAAATCTCATTATTGTAACTATAATCATCCTATTAATCGCATGCAGAAAATCTCTAAAATAGGTATAGCGCAAATCATGTACAATATGAATAATAACATAAAATATGAATGGTATTGACATATTGTTTAATAATACATGTGTAAATTGGGGTCTTATTGTTGGAGAAGTGCTGTACCAATATAAGCATTGATTTTTATGTAATTCAACTCCTTTTGCTCATTTTAGCGATCAATTGAAGGCAATCAGTAAATCAATTCTACTCTCATAAAAGCCAAAGGAATATGTCTATTACATGTGACCTTTAACATTGCAAAGACTGGGGTTGTGTCTGTAATTAATACAGTAAACAGCAATGTTATATCAAACACTTTAAAAGATAAAGTAAAGAGCACCTGTAGCTTTAAGCACTATATTAACATAAGTATGAGATAATTATAGTTTCGTTATGATAATTATCTCCAATGAACAGTTGATAAAAAGGGAACCATTAATATGTCATTTAGACATATAGTTTTATGGTGGGACATATGCACATATTGTAATATTATGGATCTTGGATCTATTAACCAAGGAGAAATTAATAAAATGTTTTGCATACCCTCCCACATTTATGTGAAACTACAGAACAATATGTTATTAATAATTGATTAAGGCCCATCAGGACTTGTAAAAAAGAAGTTTTTGTTTTGCCTTCTTCATCATGAACCAATTTATAGGATATTAGAAAAATAAAAGATTCTAAGTTCATCCTTTTAACAAAACAAAATAATGCTAAACGTATCATTTTAACTACACTGGCCCTAGCTTCTGGGTACAAAATGTCAACTTATAATATGAAATTTAATTTTATTATTACAATGTACTTGATGTTTTGGCAACAATTTTCATTTCATTTTTAATCAATCAGTCTTGCAAAATGTACTTAATCCTGGTATTAAATGTCAAAGCTCTCAATTGACTTTTGCAATTTTAAATGTAGAAATGTGAAATGTTCTTTTTATATCAAAATAGACAATTACAAACAAATGAATTTACTTCATAAAGCTGCACATAAAGATCAAGGGAATTATGTCAATAGATAAAGTCTATAATTTCACTCTAGGGTGAAGCAAAAATGATGTCATTAGATAAACACACGTTCAATTCACAAAATGCTCATAATGTTGGCAAAATTGTCAGTTTTACTAGAGATCAGCAAGGATCTTTATTCAGATATGCCCCAATATATAAGCAGTGTAGCGTGAAATAAGGAAACCAAGTAAAGTGATGGAAAACTAGATTGTTGTAGCAAAAATCTATAAAAGTAATCTCCATACCTAAATGCCAATGACATGTAACTATTAGCTGAATGGGAGTTTTGTACAAGCAATTCAATGAATTTGTGCAAAGAATACTAAAAGAGCAAATGTCTCCATGTAACGCAGTTGTAAATACATCCATAGATATACTCTGAGCCACAGAAACTTGTGGTCTTACTAATCTCCGCATATGACAGAAATGGAAAAATAAAAAATAACCTGCTTGAGTTGAGTTGAATTTTTATTATTATTGACTATTCTGATTAGGTAAGGCTAGTTCAAATGGAGCTTTTCAAAGAGTGTAGATGAAATTATGCGAAGGGTAGTTTAAGACTTGATGTTTAATGAACATGTAAATATTTGAGAGTTTTTGGCTTGAACTTCATACTTTCAACCCACACATCCTTCCTCTAACATATTTATGCTAATGATATATAGTTTGTTTAACAATGTTGTGGTTTAGAGGAAATGAAGTCGTTATTAACAAAAACCTTCCCATGTTGGTGGAACAAATGATTTGATTGTTCATGTAGATAGTATCATCACCACATCCATCATCTTTTCTTGAAATCTTTTCACTTATCCAGGAAAATAACCTTAAGTTACTTTAAAGAATTAAATTATGAATCAAAACAATCATTAGTAATTTGTGTAGGATCATACCATGGGTTGACATGTGTAGATATTACACAGGACTGTGATAAGTCCAAATGTCGGCCATTCTCCCCCCCCCCCTCCAATATGTGAAGCCTGCTCACCTCTTCCCCAGATCTGAAGGATCCATTTGGATGATGATGTGAATCAGGGATTCATTGTATCTTATGATTTACTACCAATCAACATTCATTTAAAAGTTTGTGTAGGAATTGTTCAAATTGCGATCATATCAAAAATGGATCCCAGTATCCGTGACGATATAGCTCAAGAAATGTTGCCTTAATTATTTTAAAATATTCTATGCAGGGGCGTAGGAAGGTGTAAATTCAACACTACGCCAAAGAATCCCACCAAAAATATGAAACAATTGTGTCAAATCTTCTTTATCAAAACGCCTATTTTATTGTCATTTTATGGCAACAGAGATTTTAAGGTTGCAATGTTTTCACAACCTAAATGTGAACGGAAATAGTTAAGCGATGTATTTGTATGGGCGATTGGTCATACGTATAGGTTGGCGTTTCGATTTTATGTGCAAGCTTAATATCCCTGATACCCTTTTTAATGTGCTTAAAATGTTCGAATGATTTTCATCATTTAAAATCACCATGGAAAGCCGATCTTTTAAATCTCGACACAAATCATTCTCACTTTTCCTTTTGTCTCGAACGATAAAGACGATCGATTTCCAAATAACAATGAGAGATTTTTAATCATTTTCGAATAATTGAATTGAGATATATATTATTGTCGGAATCCATCGTGTATAGTACCGTGCAATACGACACGTACAGATTAAAGAATCTAGCTTGATCAATTGATTTAAAGAAACGCATTCGTGATCAATGATACAATTAATCCTAATGTATGCAACCTTTTTTATAACACCAGTTCGCAAGACCAAATAAACCTCCTACCTAAAGGTCAAATCGAGGTCAGCGTGACTTAGGGGGTGCCAAAAATGTTATATTTCATAAAAACAATAATCTATTATCTTTCAAATGAAATAAAAATCTAGGTAATAGCTTTTCTAGAACTGAAATCAATGGAACGCGTAATTGAATAATCAACATTTTCAAGTTATTTTTGTCTTTAACATTCATATTTCAAGAAGTACTACCAATAACAATCGGTGATTTAGTAAGAAAATAGATAATTGCTGACTTAACTATGATTTCTGTCTATGATTTTGCCTAGCAAAGGAATATAAATCGATATAGTGAAATTGAAAAATTGGGGGTAGGGGAGAATAAAAATATACATCTAATTTAAATAAAAGAGGTTCATCATTATAATTAAACGATACCACAGTTTGCATAAGCATTACGGAACATGCGCAAAAATTGCAAAGGTATTCATCAAGTAGTTTTTGATAAAAAAAACTGTTTTTCTCTCGTGAAGAGAACGAGAATCACGAATATTTGGCGAAATTTTATTTTAGTTTTAAAATCCATAAGATAGTCAGTCAATAGTGACTCGATTTTCATGAAATAAAGCATGTTGGTAAGAGAATTCAATCTGTTAATTGATTATTTGCCAAACAGAGCAATAATGATTACTTTGCATTTTCTACAGTATTAGAATTGTAGAAACAAGGTATTAACTTTCAATATTTCATTTTTCAAAAAGTGTCATTTATCTGTGGCCAATCATATGGTATCCACAAACATTTCTTTAGGCTAGTGTGCTCGAGATTACTTTTGCACAATACAATAAGAAAATATGAATAAAGAACATAGGTAAATTAATAAGCCTTTTTATTCTCACTTTTCAACACTACGCACTGGCGTTTTGGCGTACATTGTTCCTACGCCACTGCTATGACAACATATCCTTGTTCTATTTTCAGATCAAAAGATCTACCTGACTCGATGTACAGATGGTGCAGTTCGTTACGAGGGCTACAGATCAGGGACAATCGTTTCCCAACAACGTGGGTTAAACTATACAACAGGAATAGACTGTAAAGTTATAATTGGTGTACCTGAAGGGTATTATATAAGACTGAGATTCTCGAAGTTTGAAGTACAAGAACCACAAGATGGCAATTGTCTCGACTTTGTCAGAGTTTTTGAAGGTTTGTAAAACAGATGAATTTTTTTTTCTTTTTATATTCTTTTTATTACTTGAAAATAATGATAGGTTAGGAATCCATGTAATAATCTTTCTATTATTGAAAAAAAAGATTTTAGTTCTCATTATATATTTTTTTCTTTATTTGGATTCCCTTATTAAAGGGGATTACAGTACAAGACTTAAACTAGCCTCTGAAGTCAGTCCATATTGCAAGTCTTGTGTCTTGGTTTTGTGTATACATGTACTATAGGAAGACATTGCACTCTGTTTATGTTAGCTCAAATATGATATTATAAAAATGTTACTATATTAAGACCACTTCTGAAGTGGGGATTCTCATATTTAACAGTAAATATGTGTATTACATACCTAGCGAAGCATTTGTATGGAAGTCAATGGGAAAGTTAGCGAGCTATATCCACCGATATTGCCCGATTACCCCGATATAGCCCGCTTACCTCGTTTTGATATTAGATTTCTTTAATAACCATGATAATATCATGACGTCACGTCATTGATACAAAGTAACCATGGGAACAAAGGCATGTAATACATCAGTTATGTCACTATGACGTGAAATATGCCTGAGTTCTCCCAATATAGGCCGACCTTGGGAGGCTCTATATTTGGGCAAGAACTCAGGCATATTTCACGTCATAGTGACATAACCTCTAAGTATATGAACTCCTCTCTTACAAGTGAAATATGAACACCTTTTTGTACCATTGACTCCTGACCCCATATTACCATGCATTTGCTTCCATGTGAACACCTCAAACAAACAGACAGTCCCATGCAATCTTTTTCTTTCTGTACTTTTATTTCATTTAAATGATATCTCTTCAGGTCAGACAACCCAGTGGAAGCCATTATCTTCTAAACTATGTGGCAATATAATGCCCCCTGCTATTATGAGCAGCAGCAACTATGTGACAATCTGGTGGAAGACAGACAACACTCAGGGGAACTCATTGCCAGGGTGGCAGGTTGAGTTTAAAAGAAGGAGAGGATACACAGGTGAGTTAATTCGAGTTTTAATATGGTGTTGTTATCTTAAGTGGTGATTACTCTCAGACCCACCTATACTGAGCCAGGTCCATCTTAAGGTTTAATTATTAGAAGGGGCCTTTAGGAGAAAAGTTCAAATAAAAACCATAAGACATTGTGTTTTATTTCAGAAGTGTTGGGGAAAATTCACTTTTGAAGATGTATTAATTTTTGATACAAAAAATACAGAACTATGAATAACTTGTAATGTTGTTTTTCAGTTGAAAGAAGACACTGTCTCCACTGCAATAGCTCTGATGAGACATCAAGCTGTTTCGCAAATACCACAACTGTAAAATCCATGAAATGTCCTGCTGGAAAGCCCCACTGTTACAGCTTAGCCAGATACATCAACAATACGGGAGAATTTCTGGGGGTAGAGCGGGGGTGTTTTAGTAATGATGGGGATATTATTTGTCCCCAAGATTCGCACTGTTCACATTATCGTTGCAATGCAGATGATTGTAATACATCAGACTTTGAATTCCTTACACCACCAAAACTAAGATATATCCCCCTGTACAGGGGTTTCTTAAGGATATTCTATGCATTGGATATAGTGTGTAAAAGTTTAATAACACTCTTGTTTGGAGTACAATTTTAGTGTGAAGTCCTGTCAAATGGATACTATCAATGGATACTATCGTTAAAAGTAGACATCAGGCTGGTTTTTTTACTAGAGACAATCATAATATGTGTTTAAGTGTATAAAACACTAAAAGTATACAAATATACACCAAAGTCAAATGGCAAAGTGCAAAAGTATGCCCCTCACAAATTGAGTTCCACCATCAGGAAGTGGGACAAGTTGACAAACCCAATCCCTATACAGAGGAGGAAGGGACCATTGAACAGTATGGAGACCAAGGTGAACTGATGCCAAAGTAATAGTGGATACATGTTCATAGAGGAGCAAAGGAGGAGTGATATACATCTCATATATAGTATAGTTATTTTGTGTAGACATAGTTAAATATAGATAAACTAAAGGATGTGATTAGGGAGAAATGCATCAAACAATGGTGCTTGAAAGATGAGGAAGATCTGTGGACGACTGAAGTGTTAAACAATATCAAGTATATTTTTATTTTCAAGAAACCAAATAAAAACATTTTGAAGGAAACAAGCATCTCTCTTTTGAAAAGATTTTTAGTTTTGACCTCGGAACTTTCTTAAATTATGGGCTCCTTCAGTTGGTTGAATATACCACACTACTATCTGACCCAAATAGTTCAACCTTCATTCTGGGAGTGGGACTGTAGCAATTAAAGTTACTAAACTACGTTCACCCTATATTGAAGGAGAAAAAAGTGAGAGTCCAGAGGAGAAACTACTTCATAATATTTCATCACATCTTATTGTATTTTCCATTGCAATATGCCTCCGCATGTAGATGTAAAAGTTGGGAAAAAGTGTTGAAACCTGCAAGTGATGCAACATTCCTGGCCTTCCACACAAATGTATCAGTTATTTATCATAACATACTGTTAATGTCACTCATACTAAGTACCTAAAGGCCAAATTCCATATGCAGGGGCCAGAGATCAAAACATTTGTTTAGCATTCATCATAAACTACACAAACTGTTTGTTTTGAAGTTATTGTTACATTTTTGTGTTAGTTGTTCATGAATATTTATAACAAAGTTTGTTTAGTACAATAAACCTTGTACAGGAGTAGCTCATTAAAGGGCAGCCTTTAGGGAGTTGACTGGCTGTGGACTTTGTTTATTACAAATAAATTCATAGTTATAGAAATTAGAGTAAGTAAACACAAAGTATGCCAGTCAAAGAAGTTAACTATTGGTTGGGCCACTTTTTATAATCCATCCACTCATATAAAGTAAAAGTACTAAATATAAAGTAAATACAGAGTGTACATAAACTTTTAATTATATCAGGGGTGTAGCCAGGATTTAAAATGAGGTGAGGCAAATATGAATAGGTGAGGCAAATTTATACTAAAAGAGGTACATGTATATTACTTGCCATTTGACTTGAATTCCACAGAGATAGTTGAAGAAATCAGAAAAACATATTTCTGTAAAATGTTGGTGAGGGAGTGCCCCCTTTTGCCTCATGCCTGGCTATATCCATGTATGTGTAAATAGTAATCTTCCTTAGTAGCCTTTTTGTTTTATTTAAACTTTACAGTTATAGCTAAAGTTCTAGTTTAAATATTACAAATCTGTTATTTTAGTTTACATTGAAGCCTATTGAATATAATGCTGCAGAGAATACAGTGGTTTAATATGTTTTAAAGTAGTAAGCAATGTTTTAATGAAACTTATGCATTACTTAATGAGAAATTTAATGAGTTATAATTTAATACTCTTATGAAAGAGTAGTTTTTAATTTTTTTAATTTTCTAACAATTTATTGTTTTCCAAAGTGCCAATTTTAGTTTAGTAGTTATGATTTTAGGGAACTAGAATACAATTTAGGAATTTAATACAATGCAGAAGAATTGTATTATATCACCATGCATGAATGTGTGTAAGATAGTTATACCAGTTGTATCTTTTTAAAGTGCAATGTTGGCCAAATCTTAGTGGATAATATGAGAAATATTGTTTACAAGACAAACTCAAAAGGAATGGGTGGCATTTAAGTTAAGTCGTTTTATCTGAAATCATGGTAATAAAATAAGAAATGCATAGTATGTACATAGTGCAGCCTTTACAAGTAGTTTAAGCTTTGCATAACTACCGTGTCATAAGTTGAAATACCATTGTTTTATGTTGAATTTATTTGTGGTGGTTTACCACTCATTTCAAGCTTTAAATACATTTTGATATTACTTTAATACTGTCATTTTATAACATTGATGCTCATTACATGAAGTTGCAAAATAATATGTTTCCTAAACACTAGTCTCTTATTATATTATTTACTATAGTATGTATAATATACTTGCTGTAAATGTGTATACATGTACTATAACTATACAGGAGTTTCACTCTGGAAAATTTTTAACTCATGGGTCGAACTGTGAATTGTGAATATCAAAGGAAGATCTCTAGAACTCAAGGGAAGAGCCCAGCCCTTCTTAGAAGACTTGTGCTTGTATTTTAAAGGGGAAAAATAGTTTAGGTTTGAGTTCAATAAAAAATATCTTTGACTTCATTCTCGGAGTCGGGGTATCTTCAATTTGAACACAAGTCATAATGTCCAAAAAGAAGACAATGGTTTTCTAGGAATCATAAGTTACCAAAAATGGATCATTGTATCTGCAAGTTCTAAGTACTGAAACATGGTTGGTTTATTGACAAAGTTTAGGGTTTAAAATGAGGGAATTCTAGGTACAGTTGGGAAAAGCTATTCTGGTTTATGATAAAAAATGTTTGCAAGGTCTAATGGTCATCTTCTTAGCTTAAAAAAGTACATTAAGTTATGAATGTTCCAGAATGGACTCCAAGTCATCATTTATTTTTTGTGCTACATTGTACATAAACATTTCAGTATTATATCATAATAAATCCATGACTATTCAATGACAGTTAATGTTCTGTTTTATGAATGATTTCAAAAGCTTTAAGAGAACACTGAAGTGACCTCTCTCCAGTGAACACCTTTACTGAATACATTTCACTGCCTAGTGAACACTTCGTCATTAGTAAACACCCCCCCCCCCACCTCCCTTTAGTGAATACCTTTACTTAACACCTCTCTCCTCTTGTGAAGGTATTTATTTAAGTGAATACCTCTCTCTATTGAGCACCTTTTTATAGTGAACACCCCATCTCTCCCTCTATTGAACACCTTTACTACAGGATGTCCTGAAAGAATGGGACCTTCCCCAAGTCAGAAATATACCAATGTCTCCATGTATGTGTCATATATCATTTTAAAGCTACATTGATTTGCCAAGTTTCATGGTTCAACTCACAAATCTGAAAAAGTATTCAGTTCTGACCTGAATTTACCTGAAAATATGGGTGTTATCCTCAAAGGTAAGCAGTAAGATGGATATTGATTTGGAAAAGAGGATGGTGAGGGCAAAAACTCCAAGGAAACTCTTCTAACATTCTTTGAAAAGATTTTATAAGGAATCACAAAATGCCACACCCCTTTATTTGAGGTGATTTTAAGGGTATATCCAAATAAATTGCTGCTGTGAACATGGCCAAGGGGGTACACACGAACTATTAATTTGTTGTAGAACTGAACTTGGACAAACACTTAATTTTGAAATGCCTGTAACTTTTTCACATGTGTTGTTAGTTGACCTATGATACTTGGCAAAACAATGTAACTTTGGATAAGCTTTAAAATGATATATAACATAATATAGAGACATTAGTATATGTCTGCCTAGGGGAATCCCATACTTTCTGGACACCCTGTACAGTGCACACCTCTCTCAATCAGTAAAACCAGCCATTAAAAAAACAAGAATATTGCATTTTATTTTCCCGAATAGTACTCCCGATAATGAAAACGTCAACCTTTTGCTGCATGTAACCTGACACAGAGATTAGCTACATCAGATAATTCAATAGAGCCCTGGATATACAGTTTAGATTCATTCCTAGATTGTCTCCTAGATGGTTTATAGGCTTATGAATAATTACTTGTCCCAGGCTCCACAGTTGATAACTTCATATGCACACTGTTATTCAATCAATGTAGAAACGATAAACTCATCATTACCTAACTTTGTCACATGTATATGCTTCACAAACTACAATGCTATGAGTAACTAGTATTGTAGTAACTAGTAAAGCTGCCAGTGGGTTAGATGTAACAAGATTTTTTATATTGTAATGTAGTATCATGGGCTATTTAGCGGCACAGGAAACACCTGGGCACTTTATCTTAAAATTATGTAACAATACATATATCATCTTGACCCACCAGGGTACTACACATACATGTAACATCTATAACCGAGGAGTATGAGTAGCCTATTTTAAAGGTATGACATGAATGGCATGATTCAAGGAATACATGCAGCAGTGCTCAACTGATAAATCCTGTGTTTTGCCAAAACATAAAGTGCAAAAGTTCTTCAAACATTGGAGGTGGTTTCAGTTACATACGTTGGTTTGAGGCTGTATGCAGACAACTTTCAGTCCAAGAAATCTCGGGAGGTTTTCTAAAGGGACCACATGAAATCATTGATGCAAGCTAAATCATAAAGTGAATGTGAATCACCCAAATACTACTTTCCTTGGTGACTTAATCTAAAGTGTTGGTGCACATAAGACTAGTAAAATAGTATTTCACCCCTTTCCCCAGTTCCCCATCTTGGATTTTCAAGATATGATGTTTTCAAATCAAACTGGGAAACTGGGGGTATGCTGGTTCCCACCCAGAGACAAATTCAACTTCATGGTTGGCAATACATCGATGTTATTAAGAATAATGCACAATAAGAACACAGGATAAGAATAACGTAGAACATGTGAATTTCCATGACTTTATTCAACATAGTTCATGTACATTCATTTTTTGTATCAAACTTATACTATAAAAGAGATTCTGTAGAATACATCAGAGACATAATGGCACATTTTGGAATGTTAAAAACATTGATCTGTAGTGGAACATGGTAACATTTCGTAATTTCAGTCAAATATTGACTTTCCATCATGATATTGACATTTCTATCTTGTTGAATCAGCATGCTGAAGACTAAATAACAGCTAGATTCCTGAAGCATACAAAATTGTATTGGCGACGCTATCTATTGAGAGATAAGAAGTTAAATCTCTACATTTACCTAAAACATGTTTTGTTCAAAAGATAGTATCATGTTGGGATTTAGGCTACAGGCACCCACATAATGCAACACATACAGCAATAAGTATCACTGCTAAATAGAGATTCATTTCACATTCCTAATCAATGCATATAATTTGTGAGTTTCTTATAATTGACCTTTGGTACTATTCGTGTCTAACCTTACTCAATATAATGTAACAGTGTTTCTCCATTCTTAAAGAAACATCTTGAACAGAACATGGTTACATTTTATATATTGTAACAATATTTCCCATCTTTTAGTGATATTTAATATCCATTGGAGTGTCATCTATAGATGTTGTTTTACAACAAGTGGCAAAAGTGTTAGCTAGTGTCAATATCAAAAATCATATCTCATATTATCCATGAATTAAGGCTAATGGTGGAAAAGACGAATAGTGGTGTGGGCCATTGCAATCTTGTGATCATCACATGCATCAATAACTGCCTGATCATTGGTCGATCCAGCTGGCGAAGCGATAAACTCAACGCCACTCTGAAACAGAGGCACATACAAAATTGTTCACATACATCCTAAATGAAGAGCTGTTATTTGGGAAAGGAGTTTAAAAGTGATGACAATTCATATTCAATTTCAGACAAACTTCATTTATCTATCCACTGATTGATGGCCATAAACAATATTTGGGGTTTGAAAATAGAAGGGAAATTAATGCACTAAGTGACTCCACATACAAGATTATATTTTTTAGAAGTACATGTAGTATAGGCCCAATGAGCAAGGGGAAACACAGTGACCTGAGACAAGACTACATCTTATATAAAGACAAATTATTTCTGTACCTGTTGGGCCCTATCAATGTTGTCACGGAATGGGAAGAAGGCATCGGAGCTCAGCGCAACGCCTTTCAGTTGGGACAACCATTCAGATCTCTCAGTCTGGAATACATATTCGAACATTGAAAACAGTTTGGTGCTACATATGCAACATATATCACACCATTATCAGCTTTTTCAATTTATAAATCAACAAAAGATGTGAATGTAGGTACACACTCTCTCCCTCTCTGACAGCCTTTTACATGTTTGGGGAATTTTGTATATTCTGATAAAGGTTACTCACCTCTGTAAGTTTGGAAGGAGGGTTTTCAAGCATGCTTTCCCAGGTGGCAGTATCCATATCCTATAAAGCAATCATAAAAATGAAAGAGTCAATCAATGAAAAAACAATCGACTTATCAATCAAGCAATCAATTCAATTATAAAAATATTAAATATAAGGAAACATCTTTCTGATTGTACACACTTTTATAACTTTCTACTGTATTTAATCTATCTGTTTTATTATCAGATGTTATATTAAGTGTATCTTTGCAACGGTACAGCCCGTAGCCAGGGGGGTTCGCAGGGTTCGGCCGAACCCACCCCCCTGACCAAAAATTCTTTCAAAATCATGCAGTTTTCACCATTTTGAGCACTTCTCAAGTGATTTTAGCCATATTTTGGCCAAAAATTGTCAAATGTGAACCCCCCTGGAAATTTTTGAAAACTGGACCCCCCTTGGCAAATCCTGGCTACAGGCCTGATGTATATTAAACTATATTGATCTACCTGACCCACTGTTCCATTGACATACACATCAATAACATTGGACATCTCAGCACGCTTAACTCCCTTCTTGAACTCCATAGCTTTAACCTTAGGGTGCTGCCTCAACCACCTAGACAGGGAGAATGACAGATTGTAGACATATTTCTTTTGACATGTCAGTTTATTGCTCATGAACACATGTAATATACATACATGTATACTGAATATGGTTAGGTATTTATCTATATGGAAGGCACAGTGAAAAGATTGGCACAATTTACAATTTTGCATTTATTAATTTGATTCCATATCCAGGGATTTAGTAATATTATAAAGGTGCAATTATGGAAGATCCAAGATATAGTACATGAGACCAACCATTTTTTAGCTTTATGGAATTTAGTAATAAAAACGTAATGGTTGGATATAATAACAAGTAGGAACCAACCAGTTGTTAGCTTTATCTCCTGCTAAGCGTACACAGTGAATCCTTGACTGCTGACCTGCCCCGATGCCAATCACCTGACCATCTCTAGCATAACACACAGAGTTGGACTGGGTGTACTTCAGAGCAATGGTGGCCACAACAAGGTCCCTCAGAGCAGATTCTGGTAGCTGAAACATACAGAACACTTATAAAGAACACTTATACAGAACACTTGTTTTTCAGTTACAATCTACTTTTATTGAACATAATAATATCAATGACAGTTAATTCTAGGGTGAAGCAAATTTTACTGAAACCATTTTACTCAAACCAATCGCTCACTAAATGCCTGTTCTAAAAATTCTTACTTTATTAATAATTAATTATTTGTAAGGTTGCCTGGCAATAATTTTGAATATCGGACATTCAACCTTTTTAATTCTAATGAATCTAGATATTTCTCCATTAAATTCATATTTGATGCATCTTTTACAGATCTACATGTACAGTATTCTTCTTTGCTGCCTTTAAATTGAAGCTATTATTTCAATTTACAATGAACTTTAATCAATAATTAGGTCATAACTAAATCAGCTTTGATGAGTTTTTTTCATACCTCATTTCGCTTTGTTACAACATTGGTGAATATTTCTGGATTGATCACTGCATCATTGTGTTTCTGTTGCATGTTTAGACCAAATAATGTCCTTGTCTCCATCTCAGGGGGCTCATAGCTGGTGTCCATCTAAGGGGTAATATAATTCATTATGTATATCATTGAAATTATGCTCAATGACTGAAAGCTGCAACAATGTGATTTAGTTCATGGACCACTTATTTGTTTAAGTGACAGCAACAACATAACAAAATAGTATAATAAAAAATTGTGCCAACATGGATTGAAAACAATGGCTGAGACAATTTTGAAGATTCTCAAAATATCCTAAGGCCTGAATTCAGCTTAAGGTGAACATACCTGTAGAACACAGTATTTTCCTCCCTTCTTCTTCTTAAGAATTGCCAATGCTTCTTCACCATAACTTGGGGCTATGATTCCATCTGACACCTGCATACAAAAATGTAACTGTCTGTCAAATGCTATACCTGTTGCTGTATCAGTTTAAAGGATTATAATATATGGTGTTGGTGAAATTTGAAATAAAATGAAATTAACTGAAGTGAACAGAAAATTCACTGATTTACTAATATTCAAGACAAGAGGCTAATGTCATCATTTTACACATTTTTCGTCTTCTGCCATGGTATGATCATAAAATATTCTCAACGGATCTGAAAGAAAATTTGGTATGTGTTGTTTATAGCAGTAGCAGATATTGTATGCTGGGGTTGTAAATAGTATGTACATGTACAACATTGACACTAATTTCCTTACCTCACGGGATATAATCCTCGCTGTTGGCACATCACATTCATCAGATAAAGCGACAAAATCTCCAAAAGACGACATCCTATCTGCTCCCCTTGCCCTTGCATATGCTATAGCTTGTGGGGTGAGGATCTCTAGCAGGTCATCCACCATACACAGCTTGGCCTGTTCTGTACTGAGGGGGAAGCCTACAGCAGCACCTGGCAGCACATAGAACACAATGTTAAATATTCTTCCCTGGCCTTTCTCCTTTTCTATCAAGTTCTTTGGATCTTAAAGATGAATGTTTAGTGAGCGCAACAAATACAATACGAGTGTTGCTGTAACACTGTGAGTGATTCTAAAACACTACTGGTCAAGCATTGTTTGATAATAAGTGACCTACCTGCAGGGCTAACATGCTTGAATGATGTAGCAGCTGGTAATCCAAGAGCTTGCTTCAGTTCTCTAACAAGCTGCCAGCCATTCAGGGCATCACATAGATTGATGAACCCAGGTGACCCATTCAACACTGAAATGTTCACAAACACATATAGAATCAATATAAATCCACACATGTATCTACAGAACGTCTTTCCCAGCTGTTTTAAAATCTCACTCCTGGTCCTTATCTCTCAAAGGAGCTTATTTACTGTCAGCAAGTTACTTTTATAACGCAGGAGCACACTTTCCTTGATGCTGTAGAAATACCTCATTTAGTAGTTCAAATATCAACTTTATATGCTAAATGAACTATTTCAAGTTATACAGAATACATTACCTGTAACAGGGAGCTTGGGTTGGGTAGTGTAGAGCTGGGCAGGCTTCTGGTGTGGGTTCATGCCATACCTCAGAGGGAGCTGGGACACACCCTCACTGTATTCCCTTCTGAAGTAATCTGATATTGCTCCGTCATACTCAGCTGTGTGGTTGAATGCCTAGCAAAGAATCCATTGATGTACATGTAATTTGTAAGGCAAAACATTTACAGTATAATATTTCTTTGAGATAACTTGCATCTTTTTTCGGAGGAATCTAAATCCAAATAGCACTCTCTCAACAGACTTCACGCTAGACTCACAATAAAATGTTTTCTTTTAAAAACAGTTTCTCCTCAAATTGCATATTTTCTCTTGTTTGTTGTCCAAGATATGAAAAACAAAAATCAACACAACCATAATACAGGACAAGATTTCCATATGGATATTTCAAACAAATTTTCTTTAGATACCAGAGACGTTCTCTCTGGAATGCTGTGGATGACTTGATAAAACAATCTAATAACATATTGAATTTCAATAAATCATACAACATCAATTTCTCATAAAATATGAATGTTTGAATTATTTACTGTAGCTCAAATACTTAGTATGAATCTCTCTTTCTTAGACCTATCACCACTTAAAATAATATATCATACAATTCTGTTGATCATTGAATCTTCACTTTTACTTGAACTGAATGAGTATGTCTACAGTACCTTAACTGCTAGTGTTTTCCTGGTGTCCACTGATGTATCTTTAGCATCAGAACTCTCCATCTCATCACAAATGTTGTCGTAATCATTAGGGTCACAAACCACTGTAACTCTTGCATGATTCTTAGCAGCTGCTCTCAGTAATGTCACACCACCTTAAATTGAATAAGTGTAGTGAGAACAGGTTTATTTAATGTTGCATTTAAAGGAGGGCATATTACCACATTACCTCTTCCATCCACCACTTTCGTTTTGTGCGAATTTTCATTCATCAATTATCTAAATGCTACATATACATGTATGTACTATCAAAGTGCTGTTTTAGTTTCAATAAACACATTCTTTACATCCCTTTTATCTTGATGAATAAAAAGTCATAATGTCTTTTAAAGTTTATTCTTTCATAAATAAAAGTATCAAATTTGGTTCACCCTGTTAAAAGTCCCTCCAGACACTTGCACTTTCTTACCAGTCCACAGTGAACAATTTTGACAAAGACATTTAAATAATGAAAAATGTATTTTATCAAAGAGCAATAATATAAAGGTAACAAGCCAATAACTTCTTAAAATTTCATATATGAAATTTGAATCTGTCCACTAGTATTTGAGTTATCAAAGTTTATATATCTACAGAAAATAGTAGCCAATTTGAATTGAGTGGCCATATTGAAAATTTCTTCTCAAACAAAAGTCCTTTTTAATTGCTTATATGGCGTACTTTGCGAACTATTTTTCACCATGTTTTATAAATATTGAATAAAGTAGAATAAAAGTGAACATTTCTTACTGGAGTAAACTACTATTGGCGGTTAACCATTAACCATCGAGAGCCCAAATAAATCACCATTATCAAACTATAAAACCTGTTTTGTAACTTGAAGTTCTCAGAAGTTCTAAGGAGCGAGACAACAGCGAACGGATTGAATCATATTTTCCAGTTACCATGGATTCATTTCATAAATTGAGTCTTGAGGAAAAGGCTGATGCTCAGAAGCCAAAGAAGCCAATCAATGTTTTCAGTATTGATCTACAGAGTGTAGCTACTGGGAAAAAATGTAATGATAGATCACCAGCATACATCTGTGTAATTGGAGAAGATAACAGTACGATCTATGAAACATTCATCAAACCAGATCGCAGAGTTGTGTCATACACTGAACCCTATACAGGAATAAAGTCTTCAGACCTAGATGATGCCCCAACAATGTCAGAAGTCACAGCAAAGCTCAAGGCATACTTTGGAAATCATCCAACCATAGTCGGGCAAGATAACAACTTTGGTCATACAATAGAGCTGATGACATCATTGGGATTTGAAAAGGAGAAAGATTACAAGTATATCGCCATATCTGAATGGTTCAAGTTGTACCAGGGAAGCAGAGGTGGTAAATATCCATATCTCTACTTCACTCTAGATGTACAACTGAGGGCCTTACTTAGTGAGTTTAATGTTCATCTCTTGTACTTTAACCCTCAAAGGAAAGCTGGTCAATATATAAAAAATGAAAATGAAGACTCGGGACTGGAAATTCCATACTGGTAGTGAATCGCGAAAGTGAAAGAATTACATTTTATCAAAGTAAAGATGGTCTGCCAGTGTTCTCCACAAAATTTTAAAGAGGGTGCAAAATTCTCATTTTGAAAATTCAGAAAAAATTGGGTTTAATATGCCAATTTGATTTTTCATTAGTGGGTGCAATTGGATTTTCAAGTTTGTGCAAGCCTGTGTTCAAAATCTCACATGGGTTATGATTAGGTGATACTGTTAGTGGCAAATCTATTAATTTAGCTTGTGAAAATAACATTATTGTATGGTTTAATGGTAAATGATTTTTTGAAAAAAATGAAATCTCTTCCATAGACTTCACGCAAATGGATATTAAGTAAAAACAAACAAGTCAAGCGACAGTAGCCACGAAACAAAGAAGTCCTTTCAGGGTCCCACTTTAATCCAAGATTCACAGTGTATCTCAATATTTAACTAATGATTTGATATAATATACAAAACATTTTTAAAATGAAACTGAAACTGAAAAATAATACTCCAATAATATTGTCACACTTTTCCATCAGAAAATGCCATTGGAGAATCTGCTCAAATATTATTGTACATTCAATTTTCAGACAAACCATTGAGCAGGGGTCTTGGTTCCAAAGGAAGGGCTTACATGAATCTTTACAATGCCTACAAAGATAAAGATGTCACCGATTTTGAAAGTGCCAAGCAGAAATGTTATTCTATGCGTGGATATCTGAGAAAAGGACATAAGGAGGTTCCATTCTCTGAATTACATCCAACATACGAGGGTGTTTGTCAGGGGCGTATTCCACCAGGTCAGAGGACTGCCACATGTCCATGTGGGACTCGAAAGTGGTAACAAATACAACAGCTGCTCAAGAGACATTTGAATAAGACATTAGATCAAACATAGTCAAACTTTGACAAACTTTATTGCAAAGTCCAATTTAGAATTAGAAGCATTGAAAAAGGTGGACAACTTCTCCAGTCAACCAGACTGAAGTGATAATGCAATTGGTTTTACATTTACACCAGTCACTGAACGAAAATGCAACACCGATGAATACATCTCATTGAATACGCCTGGCATCACACAACAAGTAGAAATCAGCTTCAAGAATGTTATTTTGTAGAAAATTCAACGAAGAGGTGACACTCAGAAGATGGTAAACTTGTGATGAGTTTTATTTCATATATTGCACATAATGTATTTCCAAAAATAACTTGATATTGATCTATCTTAATGCAATAAATGGCTTGCCAAAAATACCACTGTGTGTGATTTTTTACAAAATTAATTATGTGGGGTGAGAAAAACCCAGGACATGGGTTGGATGACAATGCGCAATGTTTCAAGAAATAAAGACATCAATATTTTGAACCAGTCAATAGAATTCCATTTTAAAGGTGTTCCATTTACAAAGGTTTACGTTACATTTAATAAAAAACAAGATCAGAATGTTGTCATTAATGAAGAAAATGGGACCAGTTTCTACATCCAAGTACTTACCAATATCTATCTGTTCCACTGCATCGTCCACCTTTACATCTTTAGCTGAGATGGTCTTAACAAATGGGTACAAGTTGCAGGCCACTACTCTGATATACTGGTGCCCTTGCTTCTCCATGTCAGCCTTGTCTGAGTCAATCATCCTGGCTAGAATCCCTAAATGAACAATTTTGATCAATGAGATGACAGTTGATAGTAGATTTTAGATACTAATCTTGAACTAGCTTGATGATACTCATTATTTTTATTTATATTCAGTAAGTAAAGCAACAGTATATTAAGTGATCTTCCAAGCATTCTACCATGTTACATATTCAATGAGGTCACTGAGAAAGCATTGCGCACGCAACAGACGTTTGAAATATCAGTGTGTTGCAGACACGCGAATAGAACAGACGTATCGCCTTTGGTGCGATATATACGGTTAGTGAATTAAAAGTTTTTCATTAAACCTTCACTTATTATTGATCAGTATTCTGTTGGGAAGCAAAAGAGTATAATTACAATTTTGTTATCTATGATGCTGATTATTTTCATCATTTTGACACGGTCAATTTGATTTTTCATTTTCTTTGTTCTTCCTTTGTTTAAAAAGGCGGGAGAAACAGTCAATAAATATTGACTCACCCTTTAATGCCTTCATGCATACGTTTTTCTACCACACTGCGTGGAATTAAAACGTCCTTTGACCATTCAACTGTTCAAAAACAGTTATTTATACGTGCTGTCGCATGATTGTACAATTCTGAGTACAAAAACATACCACGTGCAATATCATTGACACGTTCAACTGCTCAATAGCAATCAGTTCATGCGTTCAGAGTTAGTGCATGTATAAATCGTATGCAATCGAACATGTCACAAGCATTAAGGTCTAAACCTTCCTTTCAAGAAGATTTGGACAGTGGAACAAAGACAAAATCTTCAAAGAAGTCCAGCTCTGTAAAAGCTAAAAGTTCCGACAAGTCGGTCATTATGAAGTCGCCAAGCTTGACATCAGAAGCCACTGCCTCTTCAATGGGAAGTGAGCCTTGTAAATCCACGAACAATGAATCTGGTATCCCCGTGAGCTTTGTACAGGATATTACAAATGCTATTAGCACGGGATTGGGATGTATCAAAGATACAGGGTGTCCAAAAAAAAGCAGGACCGTAAGAAAGTTGAATAACTCAGTCAATTTTGCATATTTTGTCTTGAAATTTCAGAATTATTTAGTTCATTCGATGTGAATTTTGTTGTGAAAGTTTGACAATAATCTGCCAATTGAGTCAAAAATTATAGCTCCTTACAAAACATGCCCTAAATGTGCACCTCTCCTCTCTATGCACAATTTAATCCTGCGATCAAAGTTGTTGATGATCCTCCTACACACATGTCTTTCTGAATGGACAAGTTTGTTTCAAGAACAATTGCTACTTAGGCTTACTTTCCTCCTGATGAAGTGTTACAGCATCCATTGCATTCTGAGCAATGCACTGCCTAGGTGGCAATGAGGAAACATGGAATCATCAGTCCTTTTTTGTTCGAGGGTGACTGGGGACATGCTATCACCATGAACAAGGACCAGTTAGTTCTCACTTAGTTTTTTGGAGGTCACTAAGCACCAGAAGGGACATCTTAGGAGATAAGCAGTGGTTTCAACAAGCCAATACCACCCCAAAACTGCAAATGATATGCTGAAATGGTCTAGGCAATGATTTGGTGGTCAGCTCATCAGTTGCAGAACGCAAACCATATGGGCAGCTCATTCCCCAGATCTAAATCCCCCAAATTTTTATCTTTGGGGATTTCTCAAGCCCAATGTGTATACAGACAGGCCCCTAACAATCTTAAGAGGGCAATAACTACCCCAATATTTACCATCCACATTGATATGTATAGGTCAGGGTCATTAACAACTTTCTTAGCAGGAATCGTTTGTGCATAGAGAGGAGAAGTGCCCACTTTGACCATGTTTTGTAAAGAACTGTAGTTTTTGACACAATGGACAGATTATCATGAAACTTTCAGAACAAAATTCACATTGAATGAACTAAATAATTTTAAAATTTCAAGGCAAAATATATAAAATTGACCGAATTATTCAACTTTCTTATGGTCCTGTTTTTTTTTGGACACCCTGTACTATGGTCGAAGCTTTAGGTGATATAAAGCAATCTTTGAAAACCGACTACCAAGCTGGTCAATATGATGATTATGGTGATATTCCTGATCAAGAGGATGAGGATCCTGACATCCTTGAACCACCTGCTAAAAAGCAGAAAACTTCCTCGTCCGAATCGACTGAAGTTTTTTCTTCCCTTATGAATAAACTTCGATCTAAGACCAAGTTACAAGACGATAATGGACCTCCTTTATCTGAAGCTATGGCTGAAATCGTCACAGAACTAATCCAGGCGAAGCCAGAGGATGACGATATCGTATCTAAATTAGATGGTCACAAGACGCCTGAAAACGTTCCATTATTGTGCACTACAAAGGTCAATGAACCTATTTGGACTCGGGTCTCAGCCGAAGTTCGCTCTAATGATATTAAATATCAAAAAGTGCAAACTCCCCTTGTGAAGGGTATAATTGCTTCTTCACGTGCATTGGAAGCACTGGATAATCTCAAAGAGACTCTTAGCAAAGAATCCGATGCTTATGATGATGTGCTTACGACCATCGCGGAATTAGTGTACGAAAATATGCTATTCAGCAGTTATGCAAACTTGAAACTTAACATGCGTAGACGTGAACTTTTCAAAAATGAAATTAATCAAAGTTTCAAGCATTTGTGCGCCAAATCTGTGCCAATTACCCAGTTTCTCTTTGGAGACGACATCTCTAAACAGGTGAAAGAGATAGCAGAAATGAATAAAACGCAACTGCGAGGCGTTTTTCCGTCTTCCACTCGGGGTAATCGAGGAAGGGGACGTGGTTACGGTGGACGTGGTCGTGGAAACAATTCCAACAACCATTTTTTAGGCCAGGGCTACGGCAGAAACAACCACCAGCGGAACTCTACCCGATATCCCAACAAGAGAGGGAGAGGGGCCAAGAGCAAATCCAGCAATGCCAGCGAGAAAACCACCAATCAATAGGTCATGTTGACACTATTACAATAGACACTGCACCTGAAAAGGTAAGACAAACACTTAAAAGCTCTGTCAATTATTTTCAAGGTGGTCGACTTAAAATGTTCTTGCATGAATGGGAACGTATAACATCAGATCAGTCTATATTAGATGCTATCAGTGGTTACACGATTGAATTTTGTGATGATGATATTCAACGAATGCAATGGCCATGTAACACAAATTACTCAAGGTCAGATCATGAAAGCATGGATCTAGAAATTGCCAAATTTGCAAAAAAGGGTATCATTGTACCAATTGATGATTCTAAAAAAGGTCACGTGTCACCTATTTTCCTGCTACCCAAAAAAGACGGGTCAAAAAGAATGATTTTAAACTTATCTGATATAAATCAGAGTGTAGAATATCATCATTTCAAGATGGAAAATCTTCAACATGCCCTCAACATCGTGTCACCTAATATGTACATGAGTTGTGTCGACATTAAAGACGCTTACTATAGTGTGCCAATTCCTACTGATTCTCAAAGATTTCTGCAATTTGAATGGAAGGGCCAACTATATCAATACACTTGTCTAGCTCAAGGGTTATCTTCGGCCCCCAGACTATATACTAAAATTATGAAACCTGTTTTTGCTAAATTGCGAAATGAAGGCCATCTATCGGTAGCATATATTGACGATTGCTGTCTTTTTGCAGAAACCTCTGAGCAGTGTAAGCAGAACACCTATGACACAATCAATTTGCTCAGAACACTTGGCTTCATAGTTCATCCAGAAAAGGTTATCTTGACACCAACACAGGTAATAACTTTTCTTGGTTTCGAACTTAACAGTATCAATATGACTGTAAAACTTCCCTGTGATAAAGCACAAGTTGTGAAATCTATGTGTAAATCATTATTGTCTCGTAGCAACTGCACAATCAGGGATGTAGCACAAATCATTGGTAAATTAGTATCATCTCTACCAGGTGTTCAATATGGCCAGCTTCATTATAGAAATCTTGAAAGAAATAAAACAAAGGCTTTATCTATCAATGAAGGCAACTTTGATGCATGCATGCAATTATCAAATGATGCAAAATCCGACCTACAATGGTGGATTAATAATGTAACGAAATCCTTTAAACCAATTTCTGTTACAGATCCAGGTATGTTGTTACGAACAGATAGCAGCACAAAAGGTTGGGGTGCAATATGTGTCACCAATTCTGTTAGAACAGGTGGACGTTGGTCAGCTGAAGAAGCTTCCAATCATATCAATTATCTTGAATTGATGGCCATATATCTTGCATTGAAATGTTTTTGTAGAGAAAAATCACACATCCACGTACGTGTTGAAACGGATAACACTACGGCTTTGGCTTACGTTAACAAAATGGGAGGTATCACATCGATTGCCTGTGATAACCTAGCAAAAGATATTTGGAAATTCTGCATTTTCAGAAATATCTGGCTTTCAGCAGCATTTATTCCAGGTTCTAAGAACACTGACGCTGATGAGGAATCTCGAGTATTCCATGATGAAACAGAGTGGATGCTCGACAAAGTAGTGTTCAATCAACTGATTAATCTGTCTGATTGGCCATCTCCCGTAATTGATATGTTCGCTTCAAGATTGAATCATCAGCTCCCACGTTATGTGTCCTGGAAACCTGATCCAGATGCTGAAAATATCGATGCATTGAATATAAAGTGGAATGATGAACCTTTGTATGTGTTTTGTCCTTTCAGTTTGATCACGAGAGTTCTAAAGAAAATCGAACACGATGCCATAACCAATGCTATCGTTATAGCACCAGTGTGGACAACACAGCCATGGTGGCCGAAACTTCTGAGACTCTTGATCGATATCCCAGTGATATTACCCAAAAGGAGAACGTTATTGTACCTACCGTACGACAAACAGAAACGCCATCCTCTTTGGAGAAAGATGACTTTGACTGCATGTCTTTTATCCGGCGATCCATCGAAATCCAGGGAATTTCGAAAGACACTACCGAAGTCATCTTATTGTCTTGGCGATCTGCATCCAAAAAGCAATATGCTGTCTACTTACGTAAGTGGGTACACTTCTGTCATAGACGGGAAATTGATCCATTTCAATCATCTGTGAACATAGGACTCGATTTTCTCACGTCTCTTTATAAGGACGATTTAAGCTACAGTGCTATTAATACGGCCAGGTCAGCGTTGTCATTCATTATATTACAAGACTCTGTTACTTTTGGAAATCACCCTTTGGTTTCTAGGTTTATGAAGGGTGTGTTCAACGACAGACCTCCGTTACCAAAATATGAATCAACATGGGATGTATCAGTAGTGTTAAACTTTCTCGAGACATTTTATCCCAATGAACGTTTATCATTAAAGGAGCTGGCGTTAATTACAGGTCAACGTCGTCAAACGTTGCATACATTGACAGTCGAGAATTGCATCGAAGAACACTCAGGTTATAAACTTATTATTTCACAGTGTTTAAAAACATCAAAATGTGGAAAACCATTACCAATTCTCACTTTACCAAGATATAGCAATGTGAAATTATGTGTATGTGCGGCTTTGAAAGACTATATTAATCGCACGGACACTCTAAGAGGTAACCAAAGTCAGCTACTCATTAGTTTTCAGAAACCATACGCAGCTGTATCTCTTGACACCATCAGTAGGTGGATCAAGCTCACTATCAAAAATGCTGGAATTAATGTCGATATTTTTAAGTCTCATTCCACACGCTCTGCGTCTACTTCAGCAGCACTAAATGCAGGTGTTGGGCTAGATGTTATTCTTAAGGCAGCAGGTTGGTCTTCCAGTAGTACATTCGCAAAGTTTTACAATAAACCTGTGCAGAAAGATTCTGACATTTTTGGATTAAGTGTTCTTAAAACAACTGAATCAAAGTAGTTCATTTGGTTATTTTGAGAGAATAAAGCCAGAGAAGATTGGTATGATGTATTATTATGATTTATTTGATATGTTATAAAATGTATTTAACTTTGTACTAGTTACTTCTTGTTTAAGTAATAAACAAAGATTATTTGTAATTACTTATTTGACTAATCAATTTGATTACATCAAAAAAGGACGAGATCCACGTCCTTGCATCTTTTCATGACGGACCTAAATATTCATTCAAGTCCGTGTTTTGATCACACAATGTGTCCATCTGTTGGCTTTAAACATCTCACGTGACCTCATTGAATATGTAACATGGTAGAATTTTAAGTTAAACGATCATTTTGTAAAAATGTGAAGTTTGACTGTAATTCTACCTGTTACATTGATTCAATGAGGTCAAGTGCCCTTCCCATGTGATTTCATGGCCCACCCTTTCCAGTGTGTTTGCTTGCAAAATGCATATTTATCATCATCTGGAGTAGAATATAAATATAATTTTGTATTCATCTGGACACATTAGTGGTTAAAGACTGATATTTCAAACGTCTGTTGCGTGCGCAATGCTTTCTCACTTGACCTCATTGAATCAATGTAACAGGTAGAATTACAGTCAAACTTCACATTTTTACAAAATGATCGTTTAACTTAAAATTAAATGTAACAATCTTTTGATTAGAAAAATAACCCTGTAAAAAAATTGAAATATTTTTTCCGATATAAGTAAAATTATGATATAGCACCTTGTTAAATATATTTATATATGTATAAGCAAAAATGTAATATGATGATTAAGTTACTATGTGGTATACATAATTTAGATATTAACAACCATACTTTACCTAGAGAAAATAGGGAGTGTAAGAAATGTAAAAACAATTCATTAGAAGATCTTAATCATTTTATTATGGGTTGTGATAATTATGTTGATATCAGAAAGATTATGATTGAAAATTTGATTAAGGAAAATCCTACATTTGAGAAACTTTCAAGTGAGGTTTTATATAACATTATTTTAGGCATGGAGTTTCCAATGAACAATTGGGATAATGTTTTGATTATTTCATGTAAGAATGTCTCAATTATGTACCAAAGAAGATTTTTTGGCTGATTTACCAAATGTACCCATTGTTATTTTGGGTTTAAATTTTGCTCATGTATACGACTCATGTATAATTCATGATATTGTAATTGTTTAATTAGCATAAGGTATAGTGTAAGATTGTTCTAATTGTCAAACTATTCTTCAGTATTGGAGGCTAAATAAATAAATAGAATATAGAAATATTTTAAGCAATACAACATGTTTTCCAACATGCAGAAAGCCATAATAATGTGCTGGTGTTACAATTGTGTAACACAAAAACACTGAACAAAGATTTCCACCTATTCTGGGTTTACATTATTATTACCTACCACCATGTACAGCTGGGTGAAGGGTCTTCACTCTTCCCCCAAGCATCTCTGGAGCTCCTGTTATATCAGCTACATCGCTATAGAACAAAACAGTAAATTGTATGTGGTGCAGCTCCTATTTATAGTAACTGAAGATTTTTGTTGTTTCTCAGTATTACATAATGATTCTTAAAGTGGACCAAGGTTGTTTGAGGTTTGACCTGATAGGATTACATGTTATATATGAGAAAAGAATTTGCACAAGTTCAAAAAATAATAATACATGTAAAGCAATTTCATTTAACTCAGCTATTTTTATTTCTTGTTTTCTTGTTCTTAAATTTCAACAGCACACAAGTACACACAAATATAATATGCATTTTTACAGATGGACCGAATCCCGCCTTTAACTGACAAAAGCTTTCTTTATTTTAATCTTAAATAATTTAAAAGATGTGTGTACTGTCTTACCTAACTGGGATATTAGCTTCTCTGATGGCTTTAGCAGTTCCCCCTGAGGCAATCAGCTTCAGGCCCAGGTCATGCAGGCGTTTGGCAAATGGTACCAGGCCATTCTTGTTAGAGACACTCAATAATGCTGTAATAATTAATAAATAACATTTATAATTTTACAAATACATATACATGTTCAAGTACCATTAAGTCAAACCACCAGATCTAATCCATTTATTGGCATTACTATGGAGAGCAGACATTCGGTTCTCTAGTGAATCCAACAAGAAGTACCTAATAATGTGCAGACATTTGTCAGTGCTGTAGACAGTGGAAGAAATAAAATAGACACAATTTCAACCTTTAGATGGTGCTACAGGTTCCTCAGTATGATCAGAGAGTCACACATTGATGAGGATGCATCATTGGTCTGAATCCCAATGGGCCAAATCCTTATAGTCTGAATACCAAGCATTCAAATCCTATTGGTCTGAATCCCAATCATTCAAATCCTATTGGTCCCAACTCCGAATCCCAATCATCCAAATCCAAATGGCCCAAATCCAATTTGTATGAATCCCATTCGTCCTAAACCAAATCATCCGAAAATTAACAATTGTAGATATGATATTTTCCGAGAGACCGGGACCACAAGGGAAATATCATAATACAAAGGCTTTGCATTACGTTTTGGCTCAACATATGTAAAACCTGCATTCAATTACATTGACCAAATCTATGAGAATGATGTTTCTATCTTTATGTGCAGATACATGCAAAATGTCACCACATGCCATGTTATAGATACCGAACACCAACTGCCAAACACCAACTGCCGAACACCATTCACAAAAAGTTGGAGACTATGACAATATCTCATAATAATTAAAATGCATTAAAACCTTATCTAAGATGGTTCAATCACCATCTATTGTATTCAAAATGGTGGGTTTTATCCAACGTTTTTGCTTCAATTGGCGTTTATTCATCCAAACTATATGAATAAATAAGGTCAGTGGGTGTTTGTTTCATTTTCAAACTAGATCATTATAGGGGCACCGGCGGATCCAGAAGCTAACAATGGAGGCCAAATTTTGATTCTAGAAAAAATTATCTGCGCTTGGGGGCCGGGAAAAATTGTTTTGAAAATACAAGGCCCATTTATGATAATTTGGCCCAAAAAAGGCCTTAAAAGGCAAAACTATGCTCAAAAAGGCCCATTTTTGAGGCACTAGATAATTTTTGGGGCAAAATTTGTTTTTGTTTTGGGGCCACAAAAGGGGGAGCTCATGGGGCAGGGCCCCCTGGATCCGCCAGTGGGGGTCATTATGATATTTCATACTTGTTTATATTCCAAGAGCACTGGCGGATATGGGGCCCGGGCCCCCCCCCCCCTCGGGTGGGCCCAGAAAAAAAAAATTGGGCCCAAAAAAATTTTTGAGCAAAAAAAGGCCTTGTGGCCCCAAAAAGTGGGCCTTTTTGGTCATAAATGGGCCTTCTAAGGCCTTATTTTTTCATTTTAGGCCAAATTTTGAAGAAAATGGGCCTCAAAATTTCAAAATTTGGGCCCACATTTTGGTTTTAGGGGCCTAAAAAATTTTTCCGCGCAAGCCCGGACAATTTTTTCTCAGACAAGAAGTTTGGGCCCCCCCCCCTTGTTGGTTTCCAGATCCGCCCCTGAAGAGCTACAATCACAAATAAATATAGGTTATTTACTGGGGAGAATTGAATATGGGTTTTACTCCGAGGGACAATATGATATTGACCGAAGGGTAATATGATATTGACCGAGGGAGCGCAGAGCATGACATGGAAGATTGGGATTAGACAATAGGCAGGATGATTGGGTGTTTCGGCAATTCTGTTTTGGATGATTGGGATTCGGGCAATCATTCAGACTATTGAGATTCAGATGATTGGGATTTTGACTAATGGGATTTGGACCGTTTGGAATTTGGGATTCGGAAGATTGCGATCGCTGGTGACCAATTCTTATCCAATTCGATTTAGAACTGGACCACAAAGTTGACTACGAAGATATATATGGAAATTAGGTTGTTAAACAGAATAACATCTTAACTACAGAATAACCAATGTTTTCTAATTTCTTGTATTGTAAACAAATCGCAAAAAGAGGGTCATTGAGTGCATTTTTAGTACAGATCTAGACTACTTCTTGATCTTTGAAACAAAATACTGATATCAAAACGTTATTCTATGTATGAGACTAGCAATAAAATTCTTCCAAACACTACAGTTAAATCAGTTATGATTATTCACACATACATTTGTAATAATCAGTGAAAACTCACCAAGTTCTGAAGTCATTTTGAAATCCCCACGTGAAAAGGAAGTGGTTTCGTTTCAGTATTTATTTTGCGCATGCTCAATCATCATTTCCGGATCCGAAAATTTGAAAAGTCATTTCAGGATGCCGCAATATAAAGGTGAATAACTTTACTTTTAAGGATTTTAGATCGTGTGACTGAAATTAGAACAGTAGGACATGACATGCATTATCGAAATCTGTAATTTTTTTAAATACATATAACCTACTGCAAGAGTAAATGTAAGTTGAAACATAAATGTTTGAATTTTTTTTCTTCTTTCTGCAGTCAGTCCATTCAGTCAGTCAGTCAGTGTTTTAATAATTAGCTAAACTTACTCTCTAGACAAATTTCTTGGCTAGAATACAATAGTGAAAACTTTTATTCGAGAGTAAAATTTTTTTTAGAAATGGCATTGCTTTTAGAAAAGACTACATAAAGCCAATGTAAACGGACATATGAACTAAGACTACATACTACTCTCTAAAAACCTTGGTGTCCGACGATCAAAAGATCTATTTATTCTCTCATTTGGCCTTATTCTTAAGTTTTCCCTCCATATTTAATAAGTTTGGCCAATGCCTTATCTAGCGCCACCTACAGTTGGGGACATAAATAAATGACAGGTGGATTTGCTGAAGTGAGGATTTCCCATGTTAAAAATAAGAGAATTTACAAGAGGCCATAAATCAGTGGATGAGATTATACAAAATGTAAAATATACAAATTTTAAGGGATATGTATCTAGACAATATTGGAAATTATGGGCTTTCAGACCACCATAATTAGGAAATGGTGATCGAAAATCGACCTGTCATTTATTTTTGTCCCCAACTGTACCTATTGTCAGTTCATCACAGGAAAATTGAATTGAAATCCCCTTCTCTCATATCACGCAAATTACTTCGCCTTTGAATTCGCTCAAATTCCAACATTGAAGAGATTTTAAGATAAATGACGTCATTTGGAACAGAATGATTTCCCGAAAGGGGCGAAATGGGAGGAGATTCCATGAATTTTGTCAAGAGTTTGAACTTCTATAAACTCTGACGTCATTCAGACAGAGGGCAAGAGAAAATTTTCTGAAGAAAATGACTGAGTTTCTTATAGTATTTGGATCCAATTTCGAGTATCACTAACTATGGAATGGACACACATTTGACTTCAAAAAATAAGGCAAGTACATATTTGTAAGTCGACCAAATGATTCAATTGAGGCATTTAAACTTTTTCTAAAAATTGATTTTTTAAAATTGATTTTTTGACCGTCGGACAGGAAGGTGTTTAGAGAATAAGTTCAATGAAGGTATGTTTACTACATTTTAGTTCATTAATAGCAACAGTCTATGAGAGACTAAGGGTTCCGCGATTGATTGATATTAGCAATTGGTCACATTACAAGCGTGCCGATATTTAACCTGAATATTGAAAATTTATTGTATCGTTTCTTGAACTAAAGAAACATTAAACCATATAATAAAAGCTGTTGAAACCATGCCAATTTCATCAGATGATGTAACAGGGATTCTCTGTCATTCTAAATATTCTGTCATTCGAAATAATCATCGTATGAATTATCCTACTCAAATAGAGGCTCTTGAACACTCGATTTATTCATGATTAAAATGAATGATTTTGGAAAAAAGTTTAGAAAAACTTTCTTCGGAAAGTTACAAACTTTCACTTCCGGTAGCAATATTTTCAAGTGTTCTCCGCTCAACCTACCTTGAATACTCCATAATACTCATCAAATTAATCAAATAGAATAACTCAATACAATTTATATGCTCTTGTTTTGTATTAAAAATTAAAAAATTTAGCAATTTGCGCTAATTGGTTTGACATCTTTAAACATTGAATTGCACATGTGCAACCGGATGTATTAAATAAAAACAAACGCGAGAAAGCTTATTGTATTTGATTTATTATTCCAAACTTAAGGTATCAAACTATAATGCTATATATTAAGGAAGGCAGCATTGCTAAACATTGTACAGAAATGTTGTGCATTGGATGTGTTTTTTACGTAAATTTCGGTTGAAAGGTGGGTAAATCACATTTTCTTCATAATTTTTTCAATTTGAGTCAGAATTTACCAATCGATGAATCATATTTACAGGGTTTGGCGAGTAGTATTTGAGTCCACGTGTCAATCGTTGCTCCACTAATGTTGATAATGTCATCAGAATGGGCTGTTCTCTCATTGGCTTTTAATTTCGCCGAAGATTTGTCATTTTAAAATTGGTCAATGTAAACGTAATTACAGTTTGTTTTAGAAACATTCATTCATAATTTCATTAAATTACATTTAACGATCTTTCCAAGAAGAAGAAACTTATGTAGTGACCATATTATTAAATGGTTCCCTTAATCAACATATTGAAAAAACAAAAACAAATATAGCTGACTGTCAAGACATGAGAAAATGGATTTCTGGTTTGTTTTCCTTGTTTATTCTCGCACTGTATATTCTCGCCACATTACAGTAACAATTCAATATTCAACAATGGGACTTGAAATAAAGAAAGTATAGGTGACCTAGGACTGCTGACCTATACCGGCGATTACTAGAGTGCTGCTAACTCGATAAAAGGCTGGCGCTGGCTAGAATTGTCTATGGTTCTAGCCAGGATAAAGATACCAGTTCTTCAACTCGACAATGGGAAGAACTGCTCTACCTTAGTGACTAATATGTCATGATATGACATTTAAAAAGAGTCGATAAAAGATATATATATAGGTTCAAAAAGTAATTAATTATCGTTAATATCTGATAAATACCGAAAGACTGAACAGTTTTGATTTTTGATTTTCTTGTGAAAAGGAGGATGGAAAGTATCGCAACAGATTTCGGTAGTCATATGTTAGGCCAATATATTACCTCCAGGAAATGCACACATAAAGATGATGAAATAATTTCGACTTTGAGACAGTCTAGATGCAAACTCCAGATGCAAACAACTCACCCACAAGTTTTGTCTGAAATATTATCCTGATTTTCAACCCCTTCCACCCCTGCTTTTTCAATTTTTGTTGCATCAATATGTTGTGTTTTATTTTGGTGTTTTTCTCTCTGATGGGCCTAAATAATGCAATGAGATAATGAGTATATATATTCACATATCTGCAATCATTTGTACTGTAAGCTACTATTTTATCTTTGTAATTCAGATAAACACACTGATGAGGAATTATTATGATGAGCAAAATTCATGATCAAACTTTGGACTTCTTCTTATTTTCTGTTTCTTGATAACCACTTTTTAATCTCTATTCTTAGGGAACTGGGTTCACTATTTTCCAAGGGCCTATGTTCACCGGCTTAGAGGTGGGGATGCGACCCCCCTATCCACTCCATCAAAAAAAAATAAAAGCTATTCTGTAAAATTTACAAATTATAGTTTTAAATGCTTAGAATGCACCATATACATACTATATTAAGTTTTTAAAAATGGCACCCCTTGACAATTAATTGCTGACTACACCCCTAACTGTCATGGTAGACTGTGGGGGTGCGGAAGTGTGCTTCAAACGTTTGATTGCAATGTTTCATAATATTTTATTTTAAATATACGAATAAAAGGTAGGTTTGCAGACTGTAAAATGTTTTTGAACAAAGTTTAGACTATTCTGTATTCACGGGAAGCTGCGGTCTGTGATATACTGTTGACCATGTAGATCTACTTTATGGAAGATCTTGATCGATGGATTTACCACTTTGGCTATATTTGTATACTATTGTACATGTACTTGTTGCAACATTGTTATGTTTCAGTTAGTGTAAAATGGGGCAAGGAGAAGTTTAAGGATGTTGACTGTAACACAGATGAAGCACCTGTGGAATTCAAGGCCACCTTATTTTCACTATCTGGGGTACAGCCTGACAGACAGAAAGTTATGATGAAAGGCATTACACTTAAAGTGAGTCAATCTGTTTGTGCGGATTTCATAACTTAAATCATTCAATTCAATGGTATAAAATGGTTATTTCCTGGTCGGGAATAACATATTGGTTTTATACCTTGAATCAATATGATATTTCCACCAGTACTTTGGGAAATATATATTTGGCCTTGGTATAAAACCCATATTTGATCCCTCCCAGTAGATAACCTCTATCTTTTGAGAGGCTGAACTCAGTTGATAGCTTTGCAAAGCCTGAGTGATTACACTAGTTTACGAGAGATGTATACAGCATCACAATACGTGTATATAAATCGCATTCCTCTGTTGGATGTTTCCATCAGTTATTTTTCTCAAACCTTTTAGCTTGGTGCAGTTTATCTGCTGACACACAGTGGGTTATTTAGAATTGATCTTCTGATTGCTGCTCTAGGGAATTTTGTTGAGTTGCTTCATCATATCGTTATGTTTAAGAACCATTTCACGTTTTAATGTTATTCTCTGGTTCCAGGATGACAGTTGGGGAACACTAAAGTTAAAAGATGTAAGTACATTGTATTGTCCAATCTCTTTCTTTCATTTATAGACTAACAGTGGTACCATAATGCACTTTACTGCAATATACCGTATGATGCAAAAAATGACACCCACCCACATAATGTTTCATAACTTTTTTGTCTGAAGAAATTCTGACTTGTTTTTTTTTCGCACATTAAAACTACATTCCAATTTGCAACTCCAAGAAGTTTCAGATGACTATAATCTCACCTAGATGCACATTTGTAAAAAAATGTGTCGTCTATTCCTTTGCTGGGACAACTGGATCTTACACAAAAAATGACACCCACCTTTTGTAACATAATTTTGGAAATAAGTTATAATGATTTTATCAATGACAACTACATTATTTTGTGTTTAATTGAATGGACTTCATTTTTGTGAAAGTACAAATGTTTGAAATCACCTTATCAAAATGCATGTAGTTTTCTCATTCGGTTACAGTGTTTACTTAGACCACACTGTAGTGTGTAATATGCCATTGATAGTTATATAGCTGGTTTTCTATAATACATATTTTAAACAAGCTCGTTTCGTAAGATATTTGGAACTAAAGTATTTATGACATACATGTACATCATTTTCTTTGGAAAGCATTATAATGTACATCAAAATTGTCAGCATAGTGTTCAATAGACACGAGTATTATGATTCCCGTCGACACCAACGTGACATTGCAAATCTCCAATTCTTAACACGAAACTGAAGCTGATTGGGTATCTGAAGCTTGCTTTGTATGTGCTCTATATACATTACTGTATTGATTCGTGGACTTTGGGTTCGGGGTTGCGTTGTGAAAAACATCCCCAGCTTAAAGTCTCCATTGTCTATATGTAAAAAGACACAGTGTAAATGTAATTTAAATATAAAGCATATAAAGTTTTCTCAATAACAAATATCAGTGAAAGAAGAACAGTTTCAGTATAAATCCCATCGTACCTTGATGCATCAAGCAGGAATTTCAGGCTGTATCTTCTTCTTCTCCTTAAGAAACGCCTGTATTATGATTGATCAAAGTGTTGTGCTAAAAATTGTCATAACCTTTGCATACTTTGATGTAGGGTGTGACGTTTCTGATGATGGGCAGTGCTGATGCTTTACCAGAACACATATATATATATATTATGATTAATCAAAGAGTTGTTCTGAAAATTGTCATAACCTTTGCATACTTTGATGTAGGGTGTGACATTTCTGATGATGGGCAGTGCTGATGCTTTACCAGAAGCTCCAGTTGAGAGACCTAAATTTATGGAAGACATGACAGAGGCTCAGCTAAATACTGCTGTAAGTGGAACTGTGTATTATAGTCCTGATGTTATAAACTACCTGACTTTAAGATGATCGTCATGAGTTCATTTTAAATTGATAAGACATGTAGACTGTTTAAGTTTTGCTGGACAATCTGCATTATACGTTATTATTATAAGTTAAATATAAATTCGCTTAAAGTTACAGGACCTGATCTTATAGTCAACCTGCATTTCAGCTTGACCTGCCAGCTGGACTGACCAACTTGGGGAACACATGCTATATGAATGCCACCCTCCAGTGTCTGAGAGCTGTGCCAGAACTAAAGGAGGCCCTAGAGAGGTATATAAAGTTGGGAAAGGGGTTATTGAGATAGGATATTGGGCCATCTAATCCTGGAAAATTGGTTGAAGGAAATCCAGGAACCTCACTACTCAGGAATGATTGCAATCATAGAATTTCCCATAGATTTCCAATTTTGGAATGAGCCCCTTTAACTTGGTTCCTGCCCCATAAAACACTTAATGCCTTTACTTTAAGACATAAATACAATCAGAAAAAAGTTTAAGACTTGAGAGTTAGGCGTACTTGATTTTCAATCAATTTAGATATTAACGGTTGTATACATGTATAACTATTAAAGTGATTGGCACTCCTATTGAAAGCTTTAATACAGCATGCTGCTGTCTATATATTACACTGATTTTTACTTACGCGTTTAGAATGGACCTTCATCTTTCATTCCATATAAAGAAAACAGAAATTCATAAATTAGAATGATTTTCCCCAAGTTAGAGCTAATTTTGTATATAAATGTGAAATAATTTGGGGAATCCATTAACAGTCTCAGGTTTCTCCAAATCTATCCAAATGACATCATATTTCATTGGTTTTTCACAAGAGCGGGGTATGAGTATTATGTCATCATATGCGTTGGACGGTATGGAGATATTCATTGTGACATTTGTTTTGGGGAAATACTTTCACTTTCGTTATTAGAGCACTTTAAAATATGATTAGATAGCAAAAGCGTGTTTATTGCATTCAATTGATGAAAATGAATCTAATTGATAATATTCTTCAAAAAATTATCTAATCCTTCGAAGGTTATATACATCCTTTAACTTTTCTTATAATTTTCTTTACATATTTGTTTCTAGATACAAAGGAAGTATGACCATGGGTGAAGCAGTCATACCTGCACAGGGTATCACTGCAGGTGAGCAGATCTTAAGCTTTACTTAAGGGTTTGTGTCAACAGTACATTTTTTATAGTAAAGGGGTACTCTCATTTTCACTCTAAGATTAATGAAACAGCCTTTTATCATTTTATCACTCACTAAAGATATTATTCCTTGATCGAAAGAAGAATTGGTCTGCAAGTATACGGATTAATCTTAAATGTACTTGAGTTGCAATGAATCTGTGAACTGACTGCACAAATATTTAGAAGAAGGTTATTTTGGGGTTAATCAACTTAATGTTTGCTACCACTAATCTTGTTTTATGATATGTTGTTTAGGCATGAGAGATCTGTTTAAAACCATGGAGGCATCTGGGGAACCTATCCCACCTTTCATTTTTCTGCAACGCATGCACACGGCTTTCCCCCAGTTTGCGGAGAAGTCAGAGCAAGGTGGAGGCTTTGCCCAACAGGTACAGTACAGTATAGTATACAACATGTATATACATATATACATGTATAACATAGTATCTTTTCTGTGCGAAATTAAGTTACTTTTTCTCTGTTGACCGACAGTTGCTATATGAATAATAAGAAGTAATTGTGTGATTGCTCTGCCATCTATACATGATGTGACATTCATGCCATATTAAGCCCAAATACGGCCATGCAAGTCTCTGGAGTTCAGGATACATCTGCACAATTCCCATTTCAGGGTTCTCACCAGGAAATTTTTAGAACCCGGAAAAAAGTTCAACATTCGCGCCATTAGGAAGTAATCAACTTCAAAGAATTTCTTAATGATACAGTGATTTCAATTGAAAATCACTAGTTTTTAAGACCTTATTTTAGAAAATTAGAATCTGTTTGGTAAGTGAACACTTTATCTTATGTTTTGAGAAGTTGTAACTCAAAAGCTGAGGTGAAAGAGGATGAAAAGTGCCACAGAAAAGAATTTCCCAAAAAATTAAATTGCTGTGGCATTTATTCTTAGCACCAGAGACTGGTGCAATCAGGTTTGAACATGAGAGAGTTGGCGCCCTGTCGGACTCCAAAAGCCTATGAGATCACTGCATTCATAGAAGATATAGATGCATGTACTTGTATTATTGATTAAACTCTTGAATCTCTGGTTCTAAAGTCAGTTGAAACCAGAGAATTTTTCATTTTTGCCAGCTTTTGACATTTTACTACATACATATACAACAGATGATGCCAGTGATGCTCATTTTAGTTAAATTAGATGGCAGAAATCATTTTATTATATCCATGTAATTATATCCATGTAATGTTGCAGGATGCCAATGAATGTTGGACAGAGATGGTGAGGTGTCTCCAGCAGAAACTACCAGGTTCCCCTGAAGAACAACAGGTAGGATTACATTTACACTCTAAATAAAAGAAAGCCAAAATGCCAGGGAATTTCATTCTGAAATAGTCTAGCTACAAGTCATTGTGAGTCCCCTCCCACTACATACCTCCCCACATGTAATCTGTTATTGAAGTAGAATAGAGGAGGTCTCCAAAGCTCTGATGCAAGACTAATTCTGAAAAGGTTGTAAAAGATGGGTAAGATTTACATCTGACAATCATGGTGTACTATAAGACAGATCTCAAGTCAATTTGCATTATTCATTATTGTCAGAAATATAAACTCACCAAAATTGCAAAAAAATAATAGAGCAGTTTGAATAAGTCTGGCCAAAAGGCTTACTGTATGACATGTACATTTGCAATTGACTATCAAAGCATTGATATAAAATGTATGCTTCCTGATACTTCCAGGGGGATGGTGCAAGTTCTAAAGGCTTCATAGATCAATACATGAAAGGAGAGTTTGCAGTCAGGTTAGTCTCATTTTAAATACGAATTTTGGTTTATTTATATTTATTAACCCTCACTCAGTTGTGGATTAGGCATAACCTTGTAGTTTGTATGTTGACAGATTGCTTGTGTATTTATTCCTGGAGCACCCCATGGAAAAAGTGACATTAGCATTATACAATTATTGGCATATCAAGAGGTTTACTGTCAAGATATCCCAACGCTGTCAATAGTCAAAAGTGTGTCAATTATAATCAGGTATCTCACTGAAGTATATAAAACAATATGCTAAATATAATTGCTTGTAGTATGAAGTGCTCTGAGGCTGAAGAGGAAGAACCAGTTCAGACATCAGAAACATTCTACCAACTTAGCTGCTTCATTAATCAAGGTAACTACACTTAAACCACTTTTTGAGACCAATGATCTGTAAATTGCATACTTGAGCAAATAAATATTTATAAATTGCTTATTTGATAAGATCAAAATCTGTAACTTACATTTGTGAGCAGATTATCTCTTGTAATCCACAAATGTGAACAAAACATCTCATATAATTCTCATATGTGAAAAGATCAATACTTATAACTCCCAGATGTGAAAAGATCAACACTTGTAACTAGTGTTGTCGCGATTAATCGATACATCGCGATATACATCACCAAAGCTGATTCTGGCGATGCATCGATGTCTGAAACAAAACATCGATGTTTTAAAAAAAAATTAATTTGCTAAAAATCACCCTTTCTTATCTTATTTTGACACAAATCGCTTACCTTTCTCATGTCTTATTTCATTTTCCAATGTTTTCTGATATTCTTTCGCTTTAAAACTGTTTTAGCTAGTCGAAATGAACCATTAAAGGGTTCCGATTAGCATCCCGTATAAAAACAATATGGTGGCTCCAGGCGAATCAACTGGATCAGTCCATTTTTAAGAAATAAGGGGAGTTCTGTAAAATCCAGTTTATTGAAATTGTCTTTGAGATAAAGTAATCCGTTTATAATGATCTTGAAAACGTTATCCAAAGAGTTATTGCGTTCAAAGAATACATGTACAACAGCCAATATAAATCCTTGTATTAGAAACCGGTTTGTCTTACTTTGTTTCATTTGTAGGATATTTCATATGCCAAGCTGTGTGCTATTACGTTATGGGGAAATTTAGATGCCAATTTTTCCTTATTATACACAAATAGAAGATCCTGAAACTTCACCCATTAATGTGGAATTGATTTGTCAAAATAAAAATCACCCTTTTATAAATGTGTGACGATCTATAATATACTTATGCTATATAACAGTTAGAGGTGTTGACACAACGACCTCGAGCCTATGAACCCTTGAGTATTATTCCGGGATCGGGCCTTTTATACTAAACGGTGAGCAACACCAGAAACGAGCGTTCGATTTGCTAAACGATATGCGTCACCCTTTAATCTAAAAAAAAGTACTTTACTTTCATTTCACCGTTACTAGAAGTTCCCGGATGTACCAGTGCACTCTTATTAAATTGTTCTGTTCAGTATTTTATTGCATTAGCGTTCGGTATTTCAGTGCACTTTTCTCGGACTTTTTCTCGATATGCATCGATGTTTACTACTGAAAATTGCCGATGCATCGATGTATGATTAAGGCACATCACGACAACACTACTTGTAACTCCCATATGTGAAAAGACCAACACTTATAACTCCCATATGGGAGAATATGAACACTTATAACTTGCATAAATGTATATGAGTAGTTGACTCTTTTAACTTTCATATGTGAACAGGTCGACTTTTAGCATGTGGTCGGATCAAAGAACACTAATTATCTCAACTGTCAATACATCAATAGATTCCATATGTCCTTTCACCTATACATTTTGTATGTCTATCCCTAATGTTTTCCCTGTATAGAACTATCTTTAGTGTACATATTTGACATTATCTGACATTTAACACTATTTTGGTAATCAAGGTTATAGTTTTTATAATTGTTGTGTTTTCTTTTCTTGCAGAGGTGAAATACATGCATACAGGGCTTAAAAATGTAAGTTAATTTTCTGACACAGTCCTGTATCACTGCTACCCACCTAGTTATACAGACGTATCGTCAGTGTATCATGGCTGAACTACTTCCGGGATTTGAATTTGGTAAGATATTTTTATTTCTCGATTTACATCTACTTATAAGTCACAATGTGGATTATAATTTGGCTCGAAGTTATGGGAGATAGTCTAGTTTGAGAATGTGTCAATGGTTTTAGGTTTGGTATGTTAACGAAGATGCATTTCACATATATAGTCCCTCGCTTTTGTTACACTGACGATCGGCATTAATATTGCCAATATTACACTGATATTGGTCGTTCGTCAGTGTAACAAAAGCGAGGGACTAAATACGTGAATTGTGTCTTCGTTAACATATAAAACCTAAAACCATCGACACATTCTCAAACTAGACTATCTTCCTTAACTTCGAGCCAAATTATTATCCACAACGTGACTTATAAGTAGGTGTAAATCGGGAAATAAAAAATCTTACCGAAACCTAGTCCCAGAAGTAGTTCAGCCATGATACACTGACGATACGTCTGTGTAACTAGGTGGGTAGCAGTGTGTATAAACTGAGTTAATATCCAGTATTGTATAAATATTTAGTATATTTAGGTGCAATTGTTTTTGAGAAATAAAACAGATTTAAACAAGCAATAAAGGAGTTTTGATATTTTTTATGTATCAATATTATGTTATTTCTTTTTGTGTTTTTATCAATTCATAGTCATGAATTACAATTTTGCATTTTTCAAACTAAAGTTGAACTCCACTTTATGTGTTTTTAGAGATTAGCAGAAAATATCACCAAAAATTCTCCATCTTTAGGCAGGGATGCTGTATATGTTAAATCTGTAAGTTCACATTGTAAATACTTTCACTATTAGTTAACAGCATAGCCAGTAGAATTGCAGAAAATAGGAATACTGTGGAATGCTGAGCATACACACGACATGTAGATAGTTCCACTTAAATGAGACATAAAAGTGATTGAACCCGAATCAATTCTTAGCTTGAAGTTGTGTACTGAATAATTAGCACTTTCATAAAAGCGACAGTTTAAAAGTTGATGAAACTGCTTCAAACGGTAAACATATTTCTTTGTTTTATATTTTATAAAAAAGGGATATTCATTGGGTGAATGTGACTTAAAAACTCCACTGTTTTTTGAAATTAAGTTACATAAGATTGATTTTTTTCAATTTATAAAGATGTACACCTTTATTTTTCCAGAGTAAAATTTCAAGACTACCAGCTTATCTTTCCATACAATTTGTTAGATTTTATTTCAAAGAGAAGGAAGCTGTGAATGCCAAGATATTAAAGGTAAGATATTTTGACTTATTCAGATTCAGTTAAATTTTAATTTAGAATTTTTATGGAGCTATGATCTAAATTATGTATGTTTTTTATGTAAAGAAGAAAAGACTTTTCATGTAAATAAACAAGGGAATGAAACAAACAATATACAAGATGTTGAACCAACTTGAGGTTTTGAAATAAGGCTTGCACTCCTTGAAAACCTATTTGCATCCAATTGAAAAATATTCAAGAAATATTAACATGTTTTACTAACTTAAAGAATTGTGGAACCACTTGAGAAAAACAATAATAAAAAACACTGGCTTCATTGAACACTTTGTAGGATGTGAAATTCCCAATGACCTTAGATGTGTTTGACCTGTGCTCAGAGGATCTGCAACAAAAACTGAAACCAATGAGAGATAGGTTCAAAGAGGAAGAGGATAGACTAGTTGAGATAGCCGACAAGGTTAGTTTTGTCACATTTCACAAATTCTTCAGGATTTTATACAACTCTATTATTGTTATTATATTGTGACACCACATATCCATGGCAAAAATGACTTAAACATAGGGTAGTTAAGAATTAGAATGGATTAATGAGCGCAAGTTCACTTTAGTATTTCTGCCATATATAATAAATAGAACTTTCTATTCATCATTTTATTGTGCTTTATCTGCACATGTTATCTATGTGTATTTTTAGGCCAAACAAGAAGGTGTTAAAGTGGAAGATATTAGAGGAGAAACTAAATCACTTCCCTACTCATTTCCAGATGGTAAGATATAAGACTAAAAGTCACTAAATATGTTCTGAAAATTATGCACTTAAGTAAATCTGAAATAAGAAAACTGCCTACCCTTTCAAAGCAACCTTTCTGTTTGAGAGGCTCAAACATTGAAATATTGATCATTAAAAGATGCAATTCTTCAAAGGACTTTTTTATAATAGTATAGTGTGTACAAAGTATGCATTCATTGCTCCAAATTTTAGCTCCAAATTATTATATAAAGGGAAGTGGTCATTCCAGGGGCTCTGAATGAATGATGCATTACTATCTTGTTCTATTCCTCTTGCAGAGAAGGGTTCCAACAACAGCGGTTACTATGAGCTGACAGCTGTACTAACCCATAGAGGACGCACCAGCTCTAGTGGACATTATGTGGCTTGGGTCAGACGAAAGGAAGGTATGTATGATATGATGCGCTTATGACATTGTATGCTTGACAATGTTCTGTTCATTTTAATTATACATTGCAACTTCCAAGGCAATTGGTAGGAGATACCTTTTGTATTTTTCACCTACACAGAAACAAGTACACTGATATAAATTAATGTATGTACTTTTGACGATGAATATGGACACACCAGGACAAATGCTGCTGAAAATGAACTTCAATTTTATACCAGGCTAAATAGATGAAGATATTCCACTTTGATAAGCCAATATTGATCATTTTTGAGAGGTTAAATTTTTTAATGAAGTGATTGTTTGTTCCATTTTAGTTGTTTGTTTCATATAGATTTATACTGATTGTTTGTTTCATACCTATGTTAGTTGTTTGTTTCATTTATATTTATTGTTTGTTCCAGATGAGTGGATAATGTTTGATGATGACAATGTAAATGGAGTGACAACGGAAGATATTTTGAAACTGTCTGGTGGAGGTGAGTTATTACCATAGTAAAGTCTTTTTCACTTCCAATCTTTTGACTGGTCTAACACATTTTCTTTAAGTGAAGACCATATTACATTTGTCTAATGAAATATTTAAATGGTTTATGTACAAGTAGCTGTTAAAGTACATTTTCAATGAGCAAATCTTTTTAATTGTGTTCTACTGTTTTAGAATTGAAAATTTTAAATTTTTAAATGAAAAACTAAAAGAATAAAACTTGATTCTCATGTTATTTAGAGATAGTCTCATATATTTAGTTAGAATCCCTCTGATTCACATCTGTTTTTTTATTATCCCATCGAACGAAGTTCGGAGCGATATAGGGAACGCCTCCGTCCGTCCGTCCGTCCGTCTGTCCGTCCGTCCGTACGTACGTACATACGTCCGTCCGTCCGGGCAATAACTCAAATACCGTTGGCCTGATTTTGTTCATATTTTGTACACATATACCCTATGGGGGTACAAGTTCTGCTTGAAAGTTGATTTTCACAATGGCCACTCATTTCAAAATGGTGGCCATTTTAGTGCCGAATTTACAGTAATTTAGGTGCAATATGTAAAACTGTAATAGCAATATGTTTTAGATGTAAAAAAATTATATAGGACATTAATAAAGCTAGAAATGTAGATATTAAAGAAGCACATGGCAGCCATCTTGAAAAATGGCGGCCTTTATTCGTTATTTTACGATTTTTGCTATAACTCGAAAAGTAGTAGAGCGATTTTGTTCATATTTGGTATGTGAATACTATAAACATTGCACACTGTCTAAAGACACTTTTGGTAGAAAGTGGCAATTTTAAAAAATGGCCACCATTTTGAAAAATGGCCGCCATTTTAACCTATTTTACTATAACTCGAAAAGTAGTGAAGCGATTTTGTTCATATTTGGTATGTGAATACTATAAGAATGGCACACTGTCTAATGACACTTTTGGTAGAAGGCGGCCATTTTTCAAAATGGTACTGTCTAATGACACTTTTGGTAGAAGGCGGCCATTCTTCAAAATGGCCGCCATTTTAACATATTTTACTATAACTCGAAAAGTAGTGGAGCGATTTTGTTCATATTTGGTATGTGAATACTAAAAGCATGACACACTATCTTATGACATTTTAAGTAGAAAGTGGCCATTTTGAAAATTTTTTTGAAAAATGGCCGCCATTTTAATGTATTTTATAATAATTCGAAAAGTAGTGAAGCGATTTTGTTCATATTTGGTATGTGAATACTGTAAGCATGGCACACTGTCTAATGACACTTTTGGAGAAGGCGGCCATTTTTCAAAATGGCCGCCATTTTAACGTATTTTACTATTACTCGAAAAGTAGTGGAGCGATTTTGTTCATATTTGGTATGTGAATACTATAAGTATTGCAAATGGTCTAATGACACTTTTGGTAGAAGGCGGCCATTTTGAAAAATGCCTGCCATTTTTGCTATATACTTTGTTTGTAAAAATGCCTTCCATTTTCTGTTCGATGGGATTCGCTACGCTTTGGCGTTGCCGTTGTTCTGGTTGGTGAAAGGTATCACAATAATCATTATTGTTATCACATTTGTTCAGCACTAATCTTATTTTCGTTAAGAAACTTTGAATCGAACATCATGGGATTATTATCATTTTATTTCTCATTGTGGATGTATTTCAGGTGACTGGCATTGTGCCTATGTTTTACTATACGCCCCTAAGGTACTACAGGTCCCCATCAATCCCCCAAAGATAGAGACCAAACCTACAGAAGCTGCCACTGAAACAACTGCCAAAATGGATACATCATAAATCATTATGATTCAAATATGAAATCAGTTATTTAAGAAGATGCCATTCAACATTGAACTATTCTACCACAAAATATGTTGTATATTGAAATTGAATTGCTGAAGTAAAGGAGGTGTTGCTGTTCCCAGAATCTTTTGTTCAAGTTTCAAGTGATTACTTTATTGGTAGATAACTTAATATGAAAATACCATAATGCGCCAAACTTGTGATCTGCCTTTTGCCTACCTCAACTTGTTGATCTACTATGTGACATTCATTCTCTCATTTTACCTTATCATTTCTTCCTAATGTTTATGTGGCAGGCCCATAGCTAGGATTTTCCAAGAGGTTCATCTAAAGGGAAAGTGTTTGTGAAAACTCTCCAAACCTCTTGGGAATTAGTACACTTTTTAATTCAAGGCTGATTTCCAAAATAGCAATCTTAAAAAGATAAGGCCTAATTTTTTTATTCAACTTTGAACTACAGGTGTGTATGGTGATGGCAATTTTGAATGTTGAGGATATGCGCTTTAATAATTATGGCCTATGGTGTAACTATCTGTTCAGTGTGCAATGTATTTTTAAATGTGAAGATGAAATCATTGTCATTACAAGGACATTTCCCCAAATAGGCTACCAATAAAATATATTCTCACTCATCTCATTCATCTACCAGAGGCACCAAATATTCTCCAAACAGCAAGAATGGATAGTACAGTCAACTGTGAGCCATGTTATATAGCTTGCATAACTTTAACAAACTATCACATTATACAGCCTTGTGTACAGTTTGTTTGACATGTATTTGTACTGTGTAATAAATAAAACATTTGAACAAAACCAAAAATTCCTTATGTGTTTCTAAATATTTATTATTTTTGAATATTACTGAATATAATAACAAAACCTTATATCGTCAACTACATGGACTATATGTTGTCAGTGTGTGTGAATTACAATAAAATACTTCATGAGATGGAGTAACAACAAAATGAACATCAAATGCACTAATAAATGTCATGGTGTTAGGGGTCCTATAATCTGTAATTGCTTTAGCCATTTGCCATGATATGAACATATGTGACATATCATATTTCCCTTGATTATAGGTGTAATTATAAATATTGTTCTACTTTCACATGGAGGTGGCTAATTGGATGCTGCATTATTTACTAGACTTGCATTTGCTTTGCAACAACTGACTGATTTAACCTGGTTATTATGACATACAACCTTTAATAATTTTAATTTAATTTGTGAATTCTCCCTTACTGTAAATTGGAAAACATGGCCTTTACATTCAAATGATATTTACATATGTGAAAAAAAGCTAGCAATAATCTGGGACCTAAATCATATAAATGTCTTGGATCAATAGCACCAGCACCAGTGTAGATGTCCACCAGATGGATGACCATAATCTGATAACTGCAATTTTATAATGTTCATTAAAAATGAAAAATGGAAATTTCTCAGTTGGTGGTTTTATGTCACCACCAGAAGTGGGGACATTATTATAGTCTCTCAACCTTTTTCTGGCCAGTGTTTGGTGTTCAATGTCTGTAACAAATGGCATGTGGTGAAATGTTGCATTAATGCCTTGTTGTTTTACATGTTTTATGATTCCTGGAAATAGTTGTGTGAATAGTAGACAACTGGATAAGTCATAACTAATAGGGAGTTTAAGCTGGAAACGTTTTTCACAACCTAAACGTGAACGGAAAATATTTAAGCAATTCATTTGTATGGGGGATTGGTCATACATATAGGTTGGCATTTCAATTTTAAAAGCAAGCTTAAACGCCCTATTATCTTGAAACAACTGAATTGAACCATGCTCCATTGCTGATCAGAGCAACTGCAGCCATAGACCACTGTTGAGACCAATATGTGTCCTTTTAAAACTGATTCTTAAAGATACATTCTATATCTAACTCCAATTGGTGCGTTTTTGGACGAAAATCACAGATTACTAACATTTATTCTATTATATTATTTTGACTCTCAAAGAACATGCACACATATTTGAGTACAATTATATATAGATAATATTGGATAAAGTATATACATCTCCTGTATAATAAGCAAATCCTTTTCATATACTTTAATTTCATTTTGCAATCTGACTGATAATGCAGATATTTATACAATTAGCCTATATTAATAAACTGTATACATGGTTAATTTGACCTCTGGATTTCGGGATTTTGTCCTTTGATACTTTTCACACATTTGAAGATTTTTGTGCAAAATGCCAAATTGAAATGAGTGCCCCATAAACCATGCAACAGTATCAAGTACCGCTATAATGCTACATATACATTGTGACAATTCAATGTAAATATGATTTTCACCATAACCTAAATACTAATATGGTAAACATGTGAATAACATTATCTAAAGTTAACCAATGCCTTGATACAGAAATGTTCATGAACCTTATGTTACCTCAACTACTACAGAGAGCACAATCCTAAATGAAAGCACATCTAACCAGTCCTCTAAAATGAAGCTGTCTGAGTGATCAACTCTCGTGCTGTACCAATCTGTATTGCTACTGAGATTGTCCCCATTGATCATCTCTGTAAGAATACAGAAAATATTGGTACAGAGGAGACAATCTCAGTAGCAATACAGGGAATACAGAATATTTCCTTAATTCCAATAAACAAGGTTCATTTTACAATCCAAATGAGGGAATTTGATAAAACCTTGAGATATCTACAGTATATTATGATTGTATTAAATGATTTAACCCCAGGGGCTAGGACTTGATGAATTGTAAGATGATTTAACGACAAATGTCTTGGACTGAGATTAAACCATTCACGATTCATTGAGTTGTGTGCTTAAATTCTTATAACACATTGCAAAAGATTTTGTACAGTATCATTTAAAAAGAATAAATTTTTTGCAAGGTTTTCAAAGGTTAAATGGTCAAAATTAGGTCAACACTAACCATTTGGCATTTCACTTGCATAAGCACCTGCCTTGCTATTCCTAGTGATATTATATATAGGTTTTCATTGAACTTATTACTTGAAATAATGAAATTGATGAGTGGGTATCAATTTCACTGAATCTAAAAATAACCATTCTTGGTTGTAATTTCAAGAATGAAGATTCTTTGAAGATTAATAGATTTCACTGTCAGACTGTAGATCATATATGACAATTGTCATTGCTAAAACTTGTATTCCAATATAGAATACAACAATTATATAAACTACAACCTTACAACCTTTTAACACACCATATATACTAACAAGACTTGAATAAATATGATGTATATGTATGATAGATCCACTATATAATCTTCAATGTGATGGCTATAGTGGAGCATGGCTATCTCATAACTGATTAACATGTTTTTTGAAGATTGTTTATAGAACTTTTATATTAGAACTTAATTAGAAGATATAGCATGCATGGAGATTAGGAAGCATCTCAAAACTTCAATGTAGAATTCAGTGTAGATTACAAAGTCTATTTTTGACAATGCCAAACTTGGTTACTTGACCATAACAATAGGTCAGAACATTTTCATGATTTTCCAAATTCTCATCTAGGTGAAGCACCCAGTTAGTTGAATGCTGAAAGTGATAACTGCAAATCAATAATAACTACCATTCTCTATATACACTGTTGTCATACCCACATTAGTATATCTCACAACCCATTTACTGAACAGAAATTAAGCCTCAAAACTGAGTAAATAATCTTTCAATACCTCTGGTATTGGCAAGATTTCGACACGCCCTGCCAATCTGCGCCTCATGGCCAGATAGATGGCAGACCTGGAGAGCTGTTTTAATGACCTTGGCTGGTGCTTCCCCCTATCTGTCATTATTTTAGGTTTGGGTGGAACAGCTTCCACCTTGATCCCTGGACATGTTGATGTGAACACTATGTTTATAATCTCCTGCCATTCTTCTGGTTTATAGCGATCATACTGTCCTGAGCTCAACATGGCAGTTGCGTGGTACAGAATCGGGGGCCAGGGTAACCCCATTTGTGGGTTAGCCCCAAATCGCAAGAACAAGCAGATGATATTCTTAACAAGGTGGAATGGGATATGGCTTGGACAATTAACAAATTTGAAGTACCAAGCTTCCAGGGCAACATTTGGGGGTCTGAATGGGGTGGCCAATGGTCCTGTAGGGATTGTATTAGGGTCACAGCCACAATTCAACAGAACCTGAAGGATCTCATATAGACTAGATGCATACTCTTGAAACAGATCTCTGCCTTCAAAGTATGGATTATGAGTATGTAATAGAGATACATAGTGATTCTCCACACGGTTGAAATATTCTAAAAGTTTATGTGGTAGAAGTCCATTGGCCTGGGAGCTATAATTGAAGCCCTTACCATGAAGTAAGACAAGCATCTGACATATAATATCAACTTCTTCCTTGCGAGGTGAGTATTTCAAGAAGATCATCTGAAATCCATTGAGGAGTAACAGATCAACTACACTCTTTTCTTTCTTATTCAGGTAGTTTGGGTTAGAACCATTATTTATGAGAAGCACCATTATCTTCAGGGCAAGTGGATGGTTGAATCGTTGTTCACCATGAGGTGGCCGCATGCTCTCTAAGTACAAGCTGGGCTGGGCCTGAGGCATCTCCGGAGTGTCCATCAATACATGCATCGCCGTGTTTCCCTGCTTATTGATGATATTTGGATTGGCATTAGCATCGAGAAGGAGATTGATACATCGGATAAGTTCATCATCATAGGTTTCTGGTCTCTTCTGGATTAATTTCACTCCCTCAACCTGGACGAGATATTCCGCTTGGATGTGAACATATCGGAGGAGAACATTCAATGCTGTATTTCCCTCACTGTCTGCTGTGTTGATATTCATGTGCAACCCACAGCTTAGCAGGTACTCTGTAATCTCTGCAATTGGGTGGAAAGGGTTGCAATTCTTGTACAATACATGAAGTAAAGTCTCCTTCTGGGGTGTTTTAACTTGGACACTGGCACCTTGGAGAACTAAGAACTCTGCAAATGCCTTTCCCTGGGCTAGCGCATAGTGTATCGGGTAGAGACCTTTATTGTCTTGTCTGTTAATATCTCCTGGACTGTTCTTGCAGAAATATTTCATACATTGGTATGAGCCTAGAGCACATGCAATATGCAGCATAGGAATGTCATGCATAAGTTCAGTGTCACAACCATACTCTTCCAATAGAAGCTTGAGGCATTGCACACGTCCTGATGCTATAGCGTAATACACTGGGTAATCAAACTGGGCACTCTCACTGGCCTTAGAGTATACATCAAAGTGACAAAACTTTGACCAGTTCTTCATTATTTCATTGTATCGATACTCATACTTCTTGTGCTTTTCTGGGTAGCAGACACAGGATATAACATTAGTGTCTGCACCAAGTCTAAGGAGTTTGTTGATAATCTCAAGGTGCCCCAATTTACATGCTAAATGCAATGGCCTGCCACATATGGGATTATTAATATCAGATCCAATTTCTATGAGATAGCTGACTATATCAGCTCTATTTACTATCACAGCATGTTGAAGTGCGTTGTAACCTTCATTGTCCCTGTATCCTAATATATGGGCCAAATTCGGAACATTCACAACTAAATTATGGATTTCATTTTTCGAAGCATTTTGAACAATTGCCTCCTTGAGTTTTTCTGCTGCATTGGCAATGTCAGTGATCTCAACATCAGTGAGCTTGATGTCTGGTTTTTGAAGGACATCTACTGTGTACCGCTCCACGTAGCTGGACGGGAGTCGACTCTGTATAATATTCCCCATGAATTTGGCTGCTGCTAATAAAGTACTTTGAAGCCAAGGATACATGTTATCTTGCGACGTCTACCAAGAGGCTCATTACACACCAATAATGCTGAAAGCAGAGTATATAAATTGTATATCATGACTAAACATTGCACTTTATTCTATTCTAGGTAAAGAATTTCATTGCAAATTATCAATCGTGAAAAAGCAAACACAATTATCAATAAACAAGGAAGTTTTATGCTCAAATTGCCAGTCTTACCAAACATAATGAAGCTATTTCAAGGTCAATGTTTGTAATCTAAATCCGGGCGATATTATGTGAATGAAATTTAGGTTACATTTGTTTGGCAAATTCCAGCAAATGTTTTTATTACATCATCTAACAATGTGATTAAATATTGTCCCCATACACTATTTTTGTGCCTAGCGTTGTAATTATTGCGATTGGATGCTCAAAGCTATGGTAAATAATCATTTCTTTACCTGTAATAATTTATCCAAACTCCATTCTAAATACCGGAAGTGAGGTAAAAGAAAATAATTAGTTAGTTATTTGTCCACATAAATTAATTCATGAATTCTTCAAAATGTTAATTGATACAATGTTATGATATTTTGATATCAATGTTCATTATATAGTAATTTATAAGACATGCCATACTATATCCACGCTGTCAACCGGTGTCCAAATGAGTCCATTTTCAATCATTTTTGACAATTTATATTTTGATGAACTTTGAACTGACCTTGACCCTTTGACATCAACATGGAAAAAGTGGGAGGACAATACTTTTTGGGCTTTGATTTTAGCACTCAGCAGGTGAGATTAACAAGTTTTAGTCTTTATATATTTAGAAAATAAACTCATAAACTAAAAAGGGATATATATATTCGCAATTGTGAAAGAATTAAGCTTTTACATGTACTTTAGATTGAATATATCTTTACTACAGCTCCTGTCCTGATGTATCCAGAGTTACTTTCACTTTCACTTTTAAATCATTGAAACAAAATGATGAGTGAGTGAAATCTAGATAGGATTTTATAATTTTCAAATGATATACAAACTTATTTGGCTAAAGCTGAGTTCAGTAAAAGTCTTAATTATTCTGATATTTTTATTTATTCCATACTTATAGGGGGGTTATAGTAGTTATAGGAACATGCAGGAATATAATTGATATCTGAAGAGCCCTGAAGTGATACATGTATTATCTCGTTCCAAGACTATCTCTACGTTCTCAGAAACGAAGAGGATGGGCTTGGAACAAGATAAATACATGTATATTTATAGGATATCCTATGGTTTTGAAGAATATCATTTTTGTATTTCCATCAGATATACCCTGTATCAAAAACCTTCCATTAAATAACCTCTATGTATTAGACTTTGGAGGCAACATTCAATGAATTTATTTTGGAAGCAAATCAGCATTTGGATTTGAAGCTTTTGCTCGTGAACTACAAATTGATTGGTGCCATTGATGATTCATTCCTAAGTAAAGATTTGAAAATTCAAAATGTTAAATAAAATGAATTCAAAGATATGATCAATATATCTGAATCTGTACATGACTTTTGGGGATGGAAATGATTTATTTCTGTTTACAAGGTACATGTACATGTAAGTACAGTAATGCTCATTCATTTGATGTTATCCAACCTCCTTATTTTGGAATGTGCCATAACTGGTATTGTTACAAATGCGCTGCTTGATTTTTTGTGTGTGCTCCAAAGCACTTAATGGCATAGGATAACATTGATTGATAGCCCCAACATCAAACAAATACTATATCAAGCAAGCAAAGAACAAGCAAGGTGTTAAGTTGCATCAGAACATGTATATGTAAAATATTGCTCCCCCTAATTCTTCAGAAATGTGAGAAGATCCAAGCTAACAAAACCAAGTGCCTATATAGTAATAAACTACCCGCCCCCTCTTTTGTGTTTCTTCATATATTCATCTAATATTCATTGGTTGTTCGAGGTACAGAAACCCTTGACACATATTTGTTTTTATTGAAAATTGATCAGGATTCTACTGAAATGTTTGTTTTTATTTACAGATTAAGGTTATTGCCATAGATGATTCACTAAACATTATCCATGAGAATGCTGTGAAATTTGACACTGACTTGCCTGAGTACAAGTAAGCCTTTGTGTGAGTCTAGTTAGACCAAATTCTCATTTACCATAGGTTCAGGCAATACTTTTCCAAAAATTATTTATTCAGATAATATTTTCAAGGAGAATTGTGATTTAGGTCTAATGATAGAATCTGTATCTCAAGTTAAATCTGCATCCATTTTTTATCATAGCTTTACCCTTGCAAACTTTCTCTATCACAATTATTATACTGATGCTCTGATTCAGAAAGAATAAAAGGTCATTGTGATTGTTTGATTGTTTTTCCTGATCAGTAGTTTATTAAATATTGCTACTGTTAAAGATTTAAACGTTTCTTGACTTTTGGCCTGCCTATGGCACTTGAAATATAAGTCAATTGAGGCTTTAGGCAGCACTTAATTAACGGGTCAAAGGTCATCCACATGTTATCTACATAATGTTTTTTATATAAAGTAAAAAGACAATGAAATGTCATGTATTTTCCACAAAAATATTATGAAATAAAGCATAACTATGAGACAATAATTAAACAATACAAATCAATTGCTTAGTTCCAATAGTCTAAATGATCCATTTTACATAATATAATGTAATGTTCATCCATATGTATTGTTCCATGTACTTTCAGGACATCAGGGGGTGTACACATCCATGATGATAAATTAACAGTGACCTCCCCCACCATAATGTGGGTGAAAGCCTTAGACATTCTACTTGACAAAATGAAATGTGATGGCTTTGATTTCCAAAAGGTGTCAGCACTTTCTGGAGCTGGTCAAGTAAGTGTCTTACTACTGTAAAACATGTACAATTTTCAACATTTTGTAAATTTAAAAAATTAATCAATATTCTATATTAAATGTAGAATTAGACATGTTAGAGCGTCTTTGGAAAATAGTTCTGTTGATTTTTTATATCTGTAATTGGTTCTAGATAAAATTACATGTACATTCTGTATATGGAAGAATATTGCTCAAAAATGTTTATACTCCAGTAAAATTATCAAAAATAAATGAAAAAATTGCACACCTAATCAAACCTAGTGCAACAAATGCATATTGATGACTTAAAACACATATCAAAAATCTAGAAAAATCTAAGTAGTGGAAAACATGTAAAAATCACTATTTGTACCCCCTGATCTTATTTTATGAGGGGTACTATGATAAGCATTTATATTTTCTGTAATGTGCCTCCAATCACATTCAAATTTTCAGAAATCATGCATCTATGTTAGGTTAGTAGTCATGGAAAGTTTAATCTTGATTGGACTATTGGTTACCATGGCAACACAATTTAACTGCAAAATATAGAAAATATTAAGAATAAATCAACCGTGGCCCTACAAACGGATGGTAGATTGTCATTTTTAATTTTTCAAAATGAATGCAAAGTTGAGCTTAATACATATTGAAGGTGTTTACAACAAGATAACATGATTACTAGTAATCTATGAATAGGTTGACATATTTGGCTTTGGACTCTATTCATGTTTGATAACTACGAAGTGATTTACCGCAAAGTGGGCGTGGCGCTTTTTGTTATTACATTTCAAAATAATTCCATGTTTACAGAATCATATTTACAAGGCTCATTGAGAGATTGATACATATGTTATTATCTGGTATGGTGAGTCTAAACATGTTTTGTCAATTGGTTGCCATAGTAACACAAGATAATGTATGTAAATAGGATGTGGGTAGAGATCATTTCAGGCAATCCTATACCTTAACAAATTGTTTATTACATCCATCCTTAAGAAATGTTTTAGTGTATAATCTTTTTTAACAAATACAAGTTTGGATGATATTGATATGCATTTGCTGTGTTAACACAACTAATAATGCTGTTTGTTATAATACTGCTCTGTTTGTCCGTCTGCCCATCAATCTGTCAAAGCATTTCCTGACCCATTTATTAATCACATATTGGTGTTATATGTAACATCTAAGACTTTAGAAGATGTACCAACTTAGACTCTGTAGGCTGTATCAATCTTAGATTATGGATGCTGTGCCCATTGTAGACTTTGGAGGATATACCCATTAAACATTAGAGGCTAAACCCTCTAAGACTCTAGAGGCTGTGCCATCTTAGACCCATTTATTTATCACAGCTTGGTGTTATATGTGACTAAATGGTGATTCCTGACATCTTAGACTCTAGAAGATATACCAACTTAGACTCTGTAGGCTGTATTGATCTTAGATTATGGATGCTGTAGACTCTGGAGGATGTACCCATTAAACATTAAAGGCTAAACCCTCTAAGACTCTAGAGACTGTGCTATCTTACACCCATTTATTAATAACAGATTGGTGTTAGATGTGACTAAATGGTGATTCCTGACATCTAGAAGATGTACAAACTTAGACTCTGTAGGCTGTATTAATCTTAGATTATGGATGCTGTACCCACTGGAGGATGTACCATTAAAAATTAGAGGCTAAATCCTCTGAAACTCTAGAGACTGTACCATCTTAGACCCATTTATTAACCACAGATTGGTGTTATATGTGACAAAATGTCGATTCTAGACATATCTTAGACTCTAGAAGATGTACCAACTTAGACTTTGTAAACTGTATGAATCTTAGATTATGGATGCTGTACCCATTGTAGACTATTGAGGATGTACCCATTAAACACTAAGGCTAAACCCTCTAAGCCTCTAGAGGCTGTACCATCTTAGACTCTTGGAGACTATACCCATCATAGACTCTGGAGAGGCTGTAATATCTTAGACTCTTAGAGGCTTTACCCATCATAGACACTGCATCTGGAAAGTGTACCCTCTTCTCTTGAAGGCTATTCTCAGAACTCATCAAAGGCTCTGGAGGCTATACCATCTTTGACTCTTGAAGGCTATACCCATTGTAGACTCTGGAGGCTATACCCACTTAGACTCTTGGAGGCTATACCAACTCAGACTCTTATAGGCTGTACTATCTTAGAATCTTGGAGGCTGTACCTATCTTGGACTCTGACTGTCATAGAAATCAGGTACTATTGTGGCTGTACTATATTTGGTTCTACAGGTTGAATCCGTATTATACTCTGAAGTTACATCATATTAGTCTAGATGCTGAATTCATATTATACTCTGGTGGCTGTACCATCTTAGACTCTGGAGACTATACCATCTTAGACTTTTGGAGGCTATACCATCTCATTTGTAGGCTATACTATCGTAAGACTCATGGGGTCTTTACCCATCTTAGACTCTGATTTTCATCTTTGACTCTAGAGGCTGAATTCATATTGATGCTACACCATATTAGTCTCTGGAGGATGAATTCATATTATACTCTGGAGGTTGTACCATATTAGAAAGTAGACACTAGGCTGTGCCAATTTTTGTGCCAATAGAGGATGGACCATCTTGTACTCTTGGAAATGGAGGTTCTACCCATCATAGAAGACTATTGTGGCTAAAGCCATATTATACTCTGATTGTTATACTCATAGACTAAACCATTTTCTCATATCTGGAGGCTGGACCTTCTCAGGGTCTGAAGGCTGTACCATCTTAGACCCTGGAAACTGATCCCATATTATGTCTGGAGGCTGCACCATCTGAGACTGGAGACTCGTGAAGACTTACCCATCCTAGGCTCTGAATGCTATAGATATCAGCTTTTGAAGGATCTACCATCTCTGGAGACAGATCCCATGTTATATCTAAAGGCTGTATCATCTAGGGGTCTGGAGACTGTACCATCTTAGACTCATAGAGGCTGTACCCATCCTAGGCTCTTAATGCTATAGCAATCATAGATTAAGAATTTTGTAGCATCTTTGACTCTTGATGCTGAATACATGTTACACTCTAGAGGCTGTACCATATTATATTCTTGAGACTGCACCCGTCTTATACTCTTGAGGCTATACCATCTATGTACTATTTAGGATGAGCCAGCTTAGGCTCTTGTATCTGAACTATTCTATGGTCTAAGGCTCTACCATATTAAGCTATCGGATGATATGTTCTTGGTTTTGAAGCACATCATATATGCTGGGAGTTGAATCATATACCATGTTATAGAATAACATATTGCATTACACTATCTGCGTTTATTATGGTCTGTTACTATGGCAACCCTTGACCAATCAAGTACAGACTCGCCATATTAAAGAATAACATCAGTATCCATAAGCACTATAAATATCACTGTGACTGATTCTGTAGAAATGTCATTTTTATGAATTCATCACCAAAAAGTGCCACGCCCACTTTTGAGTAGAAAGAGTGGTAGTCACCTAATAGAATAGAGTACAGAGTCAAAGTTATCATATAATTCATCATATTAATGATGCTATCTTATTAAACACTCCCCAAATATGTTTTTAGGGTAACTTAATGTTCATTTTTAAATGATTTGAAGAGAAATGACAACATATATTATTATAGGAAGCTTCGGATTTACCTGAACTATTAAAGATTTGAGCAATTAAATTGTGTTGATATAGTAACCAATTGACCAATTGATATCAAACTTGCTGTGACAACTAACTATATATATGTGCATGATCCCTGAAGATTTCATTGTGATTGAAGTTATATAACAGGAATTATTAATGTTTATCACAGTACCCCCTCATAAAATTACCCCAGGGGGTATAAATGGTGATTTTAAGGTTTTCCACTACTTAGATTTTTCTAGATTTTTAATATGTTGTTTTACTTACCAATGGCTATTGATTACACCAGGTTTGCTCTGGTGTGCAATTATTTCATTTATTTATGAAAATTTACAGCGGTTTTACTGGAGTATTAAGCATTACTCTTACTAAATTCCTGTTCTCAAATTATCGGAGTTTCTCATGAATAGGCTCACTGGGTGTTTATTTTGCACTGGACGTTTATTTGAAAAAACTCAAAATAAATGCCCATGTGCTTTTATTAAGAGGGAAAAACATTTTTCCAAGGGGGATGAGGGAAAAATAACTTTCCCAAGCCAGTAGGCATTTACTTCGAGGAATATTGTCGATCGTAAAGTTGACACATGCCCTTCATACTGATGCAATAGTGTCATGAGCGCAGGCAAGAATGTTGACCAATATGTGACCTCTTGTCATATTTTTGCTACATCATGTCAAGTGTATACCCCAATTCTCTGTTCTGTTTGCCACTTCTGTTTTTTCCCAGGCTAAAGTAATTCCAATCCTTTTCTCGAATGTTTTCTCCCACTGAATGGAAATTAACCTCTTGAATCCCAGGTTCTAAAATAGGTCAAAACCAGATAATTTTTCATTTTTGCCAGCTTTTGACATTTTACTACATACGTATACAACAGACGATGTTCAATTCAGTAAAATTAGACGGTAGATATCATTTCTAGACATTTTAAAACAATTTTTGTGTAAATTGGATAAAAATTGTTCAAATAAGAGCAATTTTGATGAAATATTTTGTGACGGATTATCTCGTCACTCTGGGTTCCAAGGTCATTTCTGAGGTGACGAGAAATCTCTTCACTCTGGGTAGTCAAGAGGTTAAGGAAGTTTTTGAAATGAACACCATGGGGCTTTATAAAGAGGGAAAAAACTTTTTCATACACCCCTCTTCCAAATAAATGCCCATGGGCCTATTCGCGAGAAACTCTTGTAAGGCTAATACTGCCGCACTTATCTCCATATATTTTTTCATGTTTGTGATACAATATTTACATTTGCTTAATTAAAAGGGCAGTGTCAGAATTTTGATTATAAGAAACCCAAAATGTTTTTAGATAATCACCTATAGTACAAATTTTGTACAAAGCTTATTTTCTCAGAAGGAATTAAAATTTTATATCATAGTTTATTAATTGTATAATTCATATGACATAAGTTGATTTAAAATATCTTGGAGTTATTTATGATGATGACCTCAGCTACTATGGAAGACTTTTTAAGCTGCAAAATGGAAAGTGGCAAAAAATATTAGTTCAACATCCAGGCTTGACAATAAATCATGTTTGTATGTTTCAGCAACATGGCAGTGTGTACTGGAGGAAAGGAGCAGAAGAGACATTGAAGTCCCTGCAGGCTGGGAAACCTTTGCATGAACAACTGCAGGTATGCTTGGGAAGGCCCATCCCTAACCCCATAATCTCTCTAACAGGACAAGGCAAATAAATACATCTATTGAGGGACAGATTTTAATTTAAACAAGTCAGTATATAATTTGTGTACACAATACTAAACTGTATTCCTGGTCCAATATATGGAAACGAAACCTAGTTCACTTGTGAAGAGATTTAAAATTAAAATAGACTTAGATTTGAAAACAAACAGAATGTTATTTTTAAGCAATTAAAATTGTAGACTAAAAATATGTCTTTTGCCATACATTTAATGACAGAATCAAATCTGCATTTATAGGACAGTTTCAGTGTTAAAGATTCTCCAGTATGGATGGACTCCAGTACCACTGAGCAGTGTAAGAACTTAGAGTCAACACTTGGTGGTGCACAAGTTGTAGCAGACATCACTGGGTCAAGGGCATATGAACGATTCACTGGTAACCAGATAGCACAAGTTTATCAGAAGCAGGCAGAGGCCTATAATAACACAGAGGTAGTCCGTCTTTTTTATTAAACTGTCATGAAGTTGATTCATGAAAATTTGTTTTTTGCACAGTTCTAAGTTGTACTGTAAAACAGTGCTGTTTAAGCTACAGTGTTGTATATCTGCTATGACAGAACTTAACAGCACTGTTCTTGGAACCCATGCTAAATCAGTACTGCAACTGGATGGTGACATGTCAAATTAAAGCCTTCTTTTCATTGTTCCAGAGAATCTCTCTTGTGAGTAGCTTTGGTGCTTGTCTCTTCAGTGGACACTACACACCAATAGATGACAGTGATGGCTCAGGGATGAACCTCATGGACATTCACTCAAGAAAATGGTCTCAAGAATGTCTTCAAGTAAGTATTTTCTGGCACATAAGCTTATCAACAATTCTGCAAGTAGATCAGATATTTTAATCTGTGTCTCTTGAAAGCCAATGCAATTTCCAAGATGGCCCCCCGGATGTACATCAATTTAGTATTTCACTTCAACAGTGATTTAATGACTGGAAATTGTCAGCTAAGTTTAACCATTTTTATGTCACCACCAAAAGTGGTGACATATTGTTATGGTCTCCGTTTTTTTGCGACGGCGGTTGGCGTCCGGCGGTTGGCGTCCGGCGTCTGTAACAATTTCTTACAACTTCCTATAACTTAACAAATACTGTTTAGACTGACTTCAATTTTTTTCTAAATCATCTACATGTTCTCAGAAGTTCAAATCTGACTTTAGATTTGACATTTGACCTTCAATGACCTTCTCAAGGTCAAAAAGGTCTGTTTTCAACTTGCTTCAAATTGACTAAATTTTTTTTTCAAAGTCATCTACGTGTTCTCAGAAATTCAAATCTGACTTAAAATTTGACTTAAGATTTGACATTTGAGCTTCAATGACCTTCTCAAGGTCAAAAAAGGTCAAAAAGGTCTGTTTTCAACTTGCTTCAAATTGACTAAAAAAAATTTTCAAAATCATCTATGTGTTCTCAGGAATTCAAATCTGACTTTAGATTTGACTTAAGATTTGACATTTGACCTTCAATGACCTTCTCAAAGTCAAAAAAGGTCAAAAAGGTCTTTTTTCAACTTGCTTCAAATTGATTAAATTTTTTTTTCAAAATCATCTACATGTTCTCAGAAATTCAAATCTGACTTTAGATTTGACATTTGACCTTCTCAATGTCAAAAAAGGTCAAAAAGGTATTTTTTCATCTTGCTTCAAATTGACTAAATTTTTTTTTCAAAATCATCTACGTGTTCTCAGAAATTCAAATATGACTTTAGATTTGACATTTGACCTTCAATGGCCTTCTCAAGGTCAAAAAGGTCAAAAAGGTCTTTTTTCAACTTGCTTCAAATTGACTATTTTTTTTTCAAAATCATCTACATGTTCTCAGAAATTCAAATCTGACTTTAGATTTGATATTTGACCTTTAATGACCTTCTCAAGGTCAAAAAAGGTCAAAAAGGTCTGTTTTCAACTTGCTTCAAATTGACCAAATTTTTTTTTCAAAATCATCTACATCTTTTCAGAAGTTCAAATTTGACTTAACAAGTTCTCAGAAGTTCAAATCTGACTTTAGATTTGACCTTTGACCTTCAATGACCTTCTCAAGGTCAAAAAGGTCTTTTTTCAACTTGCTTCAAATTGACTAATTTTTTTTCAAAATCATCTACATGTTCTCAGAAGTTCAAATCTGACTTTAGATTTGACATTTGACCTTCAATGACCTTTTCAAGGTCAAAAAGGTCTTTTTTCAACTTGCTTCAAATTTACTTAATTTTTTTTTCAAAATCATCTACATGTTCTCAGAAGTTCAAATCTGACTTTACATTTGACCTTAAATGACCTTCTCAATGTCAAAAAAAGTCAAAGAGGTATTTTTTCAACTTGCTTCAAATTGACGAATTTTTTTTTCAAAATCATAATCATCTACATGTTCTAAGAAGTTCAAATCAAACCTTCAACCTTCAAACTTTTCCAACTTGCTTTAAATTGACCAAATTGTTTTAGGTGGTGACATTTTGTCATGTTAATGCCTTGTATTGAATTGATTTGATTGATTAATTGATTAATTGAATTTTCACCAAGTAGATTCAAGATATTTTGATAGGATTCTCAAGAGTATTCATATCATGGGCTTTCAACGGATATATATAAACACTACATTCAATATAATTATTATTATGTCACCACCACGGCGTTGGCGTCCGGCGTCTGTAACAATTTCTTACAACTTCCTATAACTTAACAAATACTGTTTAGACTGACTTCAATTTTTTTCTAAATCATCTACATGTTCTCAGAAGTTCAAATCTGACTTTAGATTTGACATTTGACCTTCAATGACCTTCTCAAGGTCAAAAAGGTCTTTTTTCAACTTGCTTCACATTGACTAAATTTTTTTTCAAAATCATCTACATGTTCTCAGAAATTCAAATCTGACTTTAGATTTGACATTTGACCTTCAAATCTGACTTTAGATTTGACATTTGACCTTCAATGACCTTCTCAAGGTCAAAAAAGGTCAAAAAGGTCTGTTTTCAACTTGCTTCAAATTGACTAAATTTTTTTTTCAAAATCATCTACAGTACGTGTTCTCAGAAATTCAAATCTGACTTAAGATTTGACTTAAGATTTGACATTTGACCTTCAATGACCTTCTCAAGGTCAAAAAAGGTCAAAAAGGTCTGTTTTCAACTTGCTTCAAATTGACTAAAAAAAATTTTCAAAATCATCTACGTGTTCTCAGAAATTCAAATCTGACTTTAGATTTGACTTAAGATTTGACATTTGACCTTCAATGACCTTCTCAAAGTCAAAAAAGGTCAAAAAGGTCTTTTTTCAACTTGCTTCAAATTGACTAAAAATTTTTTTCAAAATCATCTACATGTTCTCAGAAATTCAAATCTGACTTTAGATTTGACGTTTGACCTTCAATGACCTTTTCAATGTCAAAAAAGGTCAAAAAGGTATTTTTTCATCTCGCTTCAAATTGACTAAATTTTTTTTCAAAATCATCTACATGTTCTCAGAAATTCAAATATGACTTTAGATTTGACATTTGACCTTCAATGACCTTCTCAAGGTCAAAAAAGGTCAAAAAGGTCTTTTTTCAACTTGCTTCAAATTGACTAATTTTTTTTTTCAAAATCATCTACATGTTCTCAGAAATTCAAATCTGACTTTAGATTTGACATTTGACCTTTAATGACCTTCTCAAGGTCAAAAAAGGTCAAAAAGGTCTGTTTTCAACTTGCTTCAAATTGACTAAAAAAATTTTTCAAAATCATCTACGTGTTCTCAGAAATTCAAATCTGACTTTAGATTTGACTTAAGATTTGACATTTGACCTTCAATGACCTTCTCAAAGTCAAAAAAGGTCAAAAAGGTCTTTTTTCAACTTGCTTCAAATTGACTAAATTTTTTTTTCAAAATCATCTACATGTTCTCAGAAATTCAAATCTGACTTTAGATTTGACATTTGACCTTCACTGACCTTCTCAAGGTCAAAAAAGGTCAAAAAGTTATTTTTTCATCTTGCTTCAAATTGACTAAATTTTTTTTCAAAATCATCTACATGTTCTCAGAAATTCAAATATGACTTTAGATTTGACATTTGACCTTTAATGACCTTCTCAAGGTCAAAAAAGGTCAAAAAGGTCTTTTTTCAACTTGCTTCACATTGACTAAATTTTTTTTCAAAATCATCTACATGTTCTCAGAAATTCAAATCTGACTTTAGATTTGACATTTGACCTTCAATTACCTTCTCAAGGTCAAAAAAGGTCAAAAAAGGTCTGTTTTCAACTTGCTTCAAATTGACTAAATTTTTTTTCAAAATCATCTACGTGTTCTCAGAAATTCAAATCTGACTTAAGATTTGACTTAAGATTTGACATTTGACCTTCAATGACCTTCTCAAGGTCAAAAAAGGTCTGTTTTCAACTTGCTTCAAATTGACTAAAAAAAAATTTCAAAATCATCTACGTGTTCTCAGAAATTCAAATCTGACTTTAGATTTGACTTAAGATTTGACAATTGACCTTCAATGACCTTCTCAAAGTCAAAAAGGTCAAAAAGGTCTTTTTTCAACTTGCTTCAAATTGACTAAATTTTTTTTTCAAAATCATCTACATGTTCTCAGAAATTCAAATCTGACTTTAGATTTGACATTTGACCTTCACTGACCTTCTCAAGGTCAAAAAAGGTCAAAAAGGTATTTTTTCATCTTGCTTCAAATTGACTAAATTTTTTTTCAAAATCATCTACATGTTCTCAGAAATTCAAATATGACTTTAGATTTGACATTTGACCTTTAATGACCTTCTCAAGGTCAAAAAAGGTCAAAAAGGTCTTTTTTCAACTTGCTTCACATTGACTAAATTTTTTTTCAAAATCATCTACATGTTCTCAGAAATTCAAATCTGACTTTAGATTTGACATTTGACCTTCAATTACCTTCTCAAGGTCAAAAAAGGTCAAAAAAGGTCTGTTTTCAACTTGCTTCAAATTGACTAAATTTTTTTTTCAAAATCATCTACGTGTTCTCAGAAATTCAAATCTGACTTAAGATTTGACTTAAGATTTGACATTTGACCTTCAATGACCTTCTCAAGGTCAAAAAAGGTCTGTTTTCAACTTGCTTCAAATTGACTAAAAAAAAATTTCAAAATCATCTACGTGTTCTCAGAAATTCAAATCTGACTTTAGATTTGACTTAAGATTTGACAATTGACCTTCAATGACCTTCTCAAAGTCAAAAAGGTCAAAAAGGTCTTTTTTCAACTTGCTTCAAATTGACTAATTTTTTTTTTCAAAATCATCTACATGTTCTCAGAAATTCAAATCTGACTTTAGATTTGACATTTGACCTTCACTGACCTTCTCAATGTCAAAAAAGGTCAAAAAGGTATTTTTTCATCTTGCTTCAAATTGACTAAATTTTTTTAAAAATCATCTACATGTTCTCAGAAATTCAAATATGACTTTAGATTTGACTTTAGATTTGACATTTGACCTTCAATGACCTTCTCAAGGTCAAAAAAGGTCAAAAAGGTCTTTTTTCAACTTGCTTCAAATTGACTAATTTTTTTTCAAAATCATCTACATGTTCTTAGAAATTCAAATCTGACTTTAGATTTGACATTTGACCTTTAATGACCTCAAGGTCAAAAAGGTCTGTTTTCAACTTGCTTCAAATTGACTAAAAAAAATTTTCAAAATCATCTACGTGTTCTCAGAAATTCAAATCTGACTTTAGATTTGACTTAAGATTTGATATTTGACCTTCAATGACCTTCTCAAAGTCAAAAAAGGTCAAAAAGGTCTTTTTTCAACTTGCTTCAAATTGACTAAATTTTTTTTTTTCAAAATCATCTACATGTTCTCAGAAATTCAAATCTGACTTTAGATTTGACATTTGACCTTCAATGACCTTCTCAATGTCAAAAAAGGTCAAAAAGGTATTTTTTCATCTTGCTTCAAATTGACTAATTTTTTTTTCAAAATCATCTACATGTTCTCAGAAATTCAAATATGACTTTAGATTTGACATTTGACCTTCAATGACCTTCTCAAGGTCAAAAAAGGTCAAAAATGTCTTTTTTCAACTTGCTTCAAATTGACTAATTTTTTTTTTCAAAATCATCTACATGTTCTCAGAAATTCAAATCTGACTTTAGATTTGACATTTGACCTTTAATGACCTTCTCAAGGTCAAAAAAGGTCAAAAAGGTCTGTTTTCAACTTGCTTCAAATTGACCAAATTTTTTTTTCAAAATCATCTACATCTTTTCAGAAGTTCAAATTTGACTTTACAAGTTCTCAGAAATTCAAATCTGTCTTAATTTTGAACTCATAATATTGTGAGCAACTAGGTGGTAACATTTTGTCATGTTAATGCCTTGTAATCATTTGATATAGTGATATATTTACAGACATGTTTATTGTTTAAAGGGGCAACAAGGAATGTAGAGGGAAAATTCAAATGTTTTTAGTTTTTCTGAGCTATCGGGCAACATTTGGCTTAACATCTTCTTTGACATACCTATTTTCTTAAAATATATGGATAAATTATCAATTCCAGCATTAAGAAGTGTAAATTCAGTCCAAAGCTTTTATAAGGGAGTCCCACTTATATAGATTTTTATGATCCACCATGTTTGAGGGGGAATATCAGGTGAAATAATGTTCATCCAGGGGGTTTCTTTGGAGATAATGAAAATATGATGTGAGGCTTGATGAAATATCCAAACAAAATATAATTCGACACTGGTTCAAGATCGTTGAATGGTCCCTCTGCACTAATTGTTGCACCTTTAATCAATGGTTGTTTATGATTGTCTGCAGCAATACATTTGGTATTTCAGGCAAGTGCTCCAAATCTAGAGGCTCTATTGGGAGATGTAGTACCTTCACACACTGTAGTTGTAAGTAGCCACCCACTCATACAGTAAGGCTTTTGAAGTTCCAACAAGAATTGGTTAGAATCATGGGCATTCAATAGAGGTTGAAAACCCATGGTTAGAATACATAAAACACCAGTCAGGTTTTCAATTCTGACAGAACACCTTGAAAAAAAGGAAAGTTTTATAGCCTTAACTCAAGAATTGCTGTATTGATTTACACATCATGACCTTCTTTATAAGGCCTACTCATAAATGGTATGTATTTCAATTCATTTGTCATTTGTACACCTTGTGGGTCCAATATACATGGTACTGGTAATATTTATTTACATTTTTCTAATTACAGTAGTCATTTCAAATTTGAAATATGTACAGGCCCGTAGCCAGGATTTGCTAAGGGGGTTCACTTTTTGAAAAATTCCAGGGGTGGTTCACTTGTGACAATTTTGGTCCAAAAATGGCCAAAATCACTTGAAAAGTGCTCAGAATGGTGAAAAACTGCATGATCTTGAGAGATTTTTTAGCCAGGGGTGAGGGTTTGCTTGAACCCATTGAACCCCCCCCCCCCCCTAGCTACGGGCCTGATGCATGTATGATTTGAACTGAGTTTACACTACCTTTCTGCCATGCTTTTAAGGATACAATAAGTAAGTACTTTGTGGAAAGGTACAACTTAAACCCTGACTGTAAAGTGGTGGCATTCACTGGTGATAACCCTGCATCTGTGGCTGGAATGAGATTAAAGAAAGGTGAAGTTATTGTAAGTATGCAGAACTTGGAAAATTATATTTTGTGATAGCCTACTTGCGCAATTAAAGTGTTTCATAGATGATTATACTGTTCCAGTATTTGTACATCTGTTTATAACATGGATTGTTCTTGTAATTGTAGTTATTTTAAGGCACATATTGCATTTTTGTATTTTTATAGATTAGTTTAGGCACAAGTGATACACTATTTCTTTGGCTGGAAGAACCTAAACCAGCATTGGAAGGTCATATTTTTGCAAACCCCTGTGACACTAAAGAGTATATGGCTTTACTTTGGTGAGTACACATTTTAAAGTGTACTTCTTGTTTCTGTTGAATATTAAAAGTTTGGATGATTTTTGTAATTTTCAATTATAACTGTTCTTGAATATACCTTTTCCCCAACTTTGACAGCTCTTGATTGTTGACTTGTATTTGATGCTTAAACTTTTTTCATTTTTCAGTTTTAAAAATGGTTCCCTAACGAGGGAACGGATACGCGACAAAGATGCTGGAGGTTCTTGGGAAAAATATGCAGAAGTTCTCAAATCAACACCACGTGGCAATAATGGAAAAATAGGTGACCATAAATATCCAAGTTTGTTTTAGAACAGAGTATTTCGCTAATACCAGTTATACTCTAATATCATTCTCTTTTCATCTCATTTTCCTAATTTGGATTCATGATTCAATATTTTATTTAAAGGAATATATTTTGATGTGCAAGAAATCACCCCCAGTGCAGTAGGATGTCACAGATTTAATGAGAACAATCAAAAGGTATGTTGAAAAAGGTGATTTGGTGACAAAGTTATTACTGATATACATGCAAATGATTAACTAAAAACATGTCCTCTATCATTGAATCAGTATGACCAGGGCAGTAAATATATGTAGAGACTTACATCCCCCTACTCTGATGACTGTTCTTTTGGATGCTGGTTATAAATCATGCAGATGTGTTTATACTCAATCTGCTATAGGTGGATGGTTTCAGTAATGCAGAAGAAGTACGTGCACTGGTAGAGGGTCAGTTTATTGCCAAACGTGTACATGCTGAAAATCTGGGATTCAACATAGGTGAGTGGATCATTTCATGGTCATGAATTACACTGAGACTGAAACACACACAATTTTCAATAGATGCAACCATGATGATATCAGCAAAAGAAATTATGTATAGAATATTACTCATTGTGAACCATACTTAATTCAAAATATTTTGGATACTTGTGAATGTGCTACAATCCCCATTTCAATATCTTTAGAAACAAGAAAGTAATATGATTCTTATTTATTGAAATGCACTTCAAGGTCCAACAACTAGGGTTCTAGCGACTGGGGGAGCCTCATCAAACCAAGCAATGCTACAAGTGATATCTGATGTGTTCAATGCCCCAGTTTACATACAGGATGTTGCCAACTCAGCATGTCTTGGTGGTGCTTATAGAGCAAAACACGGTGTGTACATGTATTTTGAGATGTCCAAGTCACCGCTAAAAATTATGACATATTGTCAAAGCCATTGTTTATTGTGATTGGAGGTTGATGTTCAGTGATTGGTGTCTGTGACTTAGTGTAACACCTTTGTAACCATTAAATTTTTGTTGTACAATACATGCAGGCACTCGGGGCCCTTGGTATTCAGTGTGTTGCATTTTCTGTGTCAAAAATCTAACCAAATGGTTAAGTAATCTGTTTCTGCATTATGATTTGTCTTCATACGATGAACTTAGATTCATCTTTTGACTTCGTGTTTTAGATCACACCTCCAACATCTAAAAAATTCCCCTTTTATATATAGATATAATGACATTTGAAAAAGCAGAGCGAGTTTGGTTGCATACATGATTGTTTTAATTGCCAGGTTATATGGGGGGAGAGACAGTTCCATTCAGCGATGTGGTTAAGGACGCCCCAGACTTCACATGTGCAGCCAAACCTAGCCAAGATGCAGATAAGGTATACTTGTACTACAAAGATTGGTACAATTAAGAATTGTGCCTCCCTTAAGCTCTTCCCTCCTCTTTGTTTACTTACCTTTTGTGAAGCAAGGGACTCGAAGCAATTATTATTGTAAGCTGAGGCTCTAGAATTTTATTTGAGAAATAGCTTTTTGTTCTAATTCTTTTGAATTAGAAGTTACAAATGTTTAGCTTTTGACGTTTTGCAATTCTTTTTATGTACTGTAAAATTATGTCCATAACTTTTGTCAGTGTGAATATTACTCCCTCCATTCTTTAGATATTATATTATCACTTTACTAAAGAACATCTATACAATTCCAGGTGTACACACCCTTGGTGGCCCGCTATAAAGCATTGGAAGAGAGAATAGTTAAGGAACAGACTACTTAGTCTGAAAAGCTACTAATAACACAATTCCAGAAAATAACATCCCAATTTACAGGACTTGAGCTTGAGTTGAAATAACTTGTATATTAGCCAAGGTGAAAGTATACAGTACATGTGTTTGGTTTTCAGCAGTACTCTATGAGTAAAAGATGTGCCAAAATTGTAGTCATTAAGGAAATGTATTACTATATCGATTTATGGTAAATGGAAGTAGCATAAGTTTTGGTGTCATCTCCCCATTCCCCCTCTCGTTCTTAGCATTATTACTTGTTCTAAATCGATATATTGATGCACTTCCAAAAGGGCTTTCAAATATTGAAAATGTTTAGATTTTCTGATATTGTAAAATATAAATTATATTTTTATATACAGGGTGTCCGGAAAGTAAAGATACAAATACTCTAATTTTAATAGATTTTGTTTTTTTGTAATGAAATTGCTACAGATTGTAGAGGAACTATATTACAATACATCTACCAACTTTTATAACATATAGTCTAAATGCGGTAAAGTTATGGTTGTCATAGTTACGGTGGTGAGGGGTATGCGGAGCAGTTCCAGGATATCGCTAAATTGTGATGAATTGCAAAAATATAACCATTTGAAACAGTGTTTATTATTGTATTTTTATCAATGTTTTGTTTTGTTCGATATTGTATTCTTGCTGCCATAGTATTTTCTTTAGTATAATGATATCATTGATACATATCATAACTATATAATGTCACCAGTATAATCATAGAAAAAGTATATGAGTGCTTAGAAAAGGGGTCCCTGGATTAATAGGAAAGTCAACAGTCCACCTCCTTAGTCAATGCACCAATTCACAAAGCAAAAGAAAACAAATCTTACAATTAGATGTCTTGACATTAAACCTCTTCGCACAATGGCCCATATTTCCCTGATAATGGCCCGTTGGACTTCTACATTATAAATGAATAGTTTAAAGCAATATTTGTTAGAAGTTCAACATAAAAATGAGACTCAGCTGGAAGCCAATGTTATCAGCAATCTTAGATATTGACAGCAGTGATTTTGTCAAGTCTTTGAATCTCCGGTCAAAATGCACAAAGAATATTTAGAAATACATACTGGATAACAGTAGTAGTGTCAAATGAATAAATAATGTTATTGTACTAATCCTTTGCTGTTGTGGTACATAATCTGATGTATAATAGCAACAGACGATGGAGTGTCAAGATGATATGAACAAGTGAAAAGAATTATAAAACATAATTGTGACGCTGCTCCACATACCCGAGACTCCTGTTACCATAACAACCATAACTTTTTTATTTTGAATCAATTTGTCATGACATTTACAGGATAAATTATTATAATGTCATTCTACAATCTGTAGCAATTTCATCTCACAACAGGTTAATCTATTGAAATTAGAGCATTTGTATCTTTACTTTCCGGACACCCTGTATCTACTTATTTTTATGGTGCTTCATTGTCAAGATTTAGGGACAAATGTAATTAATTGTACCAGTGTTTATGTATACTCATACATGTACATGTCAGGCCGGTGTGAAAGAAATTATGGTCCCCTTTCTTAACGACCCTTACTGGCCCTGATTGCAAATATAATAAGGGAAAGAGTTGTATTTAGGTCACCATATAAATCAATGGAGAGTAGAACCATAATTTGATAGGACCTCCTACCCTTTTACACCGGTAGCCAGGATTTGCCAAGAAAAATTCAAGGGGGGATTCACTTGTAACAATTTTGGTCCAAAAAATGGCCAAAATCACTTAAAAAGTGCTCAGAATGGTGAAAAACTGCATGATTTTGAAAGAATTTTTGGCCAGGGGGGTTCGCCTGAACCCTGCGAACCCCCCTGGCTACGGGTCTGCATGTTTATGTATGATTGGAAATGCTGTTTTGTTCCAATACATACAATACAATGGAAATAACCAATAAATGATTCCTTTTCATTGCAATGTATTATATAGATTGTGTCAGTTATGTATTTACTATTTAGCATGTAAAATCCATTCAGTACAGTGAGATAATTGATAAGTAGTTCATCTATCAACCTGCAAACAAGTTGTTTGTCTGTAGAATTTACTGGATTGAATGCCCTTGTATGAATCCTACTTGGTCATATGTTCATCATGTGTCCATCTGTTGGTTAAGTCTTCAATCACTCCCATGTGTCTTATAAGTCTAACTGAGAAGGATATTGCTCAACAGGTTTGGACCATTTACAAGTTAAAAAATCATACTCAGCTAGTAAGTAGGCACCCGAGGAACCTACTAAACAATATGAATGACAACCTAAACATGTTGCCTTGATTCTAATCAACAAAATGGAAAATAACTTTGCACATGTTAAGGTTGCTCTTAGTGAGATCATAAGAGAAGAAATGAACATGTTTCGTAACAATGCAAGCAACAAAAGTAGGGAAGACAGGAAATGCTATAACCATACCTCAGACTGTACGCCTTACCTAATCTGTTTAAATGATTGAATTTTACTGTTTCACTTTAAACTTTATACAGTTTCTGGCAAAATCCACATTTTCCAGTTGGAACATTTCATCAATTTAATAATAAAATGTACACACTAAAAGTAATTTACATTCTTGAATGTTTTATTCATATTCTATTTTTTTGTTGTTGTCATAAGTTTTGAGAGACCCCAAGTATGATAAAATTTGAAAGTCTCTAATAATGTCTTTTAGAATTCCATCATTCTGTCCATATCTACAAGCACTTCATTTGTGTGTTTACCTGAAATAAAGTGTACATCTGTAAATATATATTTAAAATAAATTGATTTAATAGGACCTGGAATTGATTGAGGCCACCTATGTGAACCGTTTTTAAAAACATGGGCTTGTATGAATAAAAATCTCTAATAAATCTCTAATATAACTTTCATATCTGTAAATGAATTATAAATACATCTACAGAAAACCTTGTCAAGTGTAACCGGTAACTGGTACACTCAGTCTCAAGATCCATTAAACTCATGTTCATTGAACCTCTATAAGTTAAACAACTCCTAAGAGAAACACTTGGAACCAAGGATGTTCAACTTTCACAGGTTTTACTGTCCAACATTATAGTCCTCTCGAGTACAAGTTTCTCAGGCTTCAGACTACTTTAGGATTACCATCTATTTTCAACAATCAAGTAATTCTCCCATCAGAGAGGGATGATATAAATACATGATATAGTTCACTTACTCATGTCTATTATGTTATGTGAGGCTCCTACTAAACAATCCTTGAGTTCACTCCTAGCCCCAATGGTGCCATGTTCACATATAACACAGCCAGTAATGGTACTCCTGTAACAACATTTCCAAAGTGTAGATATTCATTAACTGATTAATGTCCATGTACATGGTAGACCAAGTAAGGTTGGACCTCTTGCATACTGACACTTTGCAAACAGATCCAAGGTCCTACTAAGCCCACTTTAATTATTCAATGTATACAGATAAGAAGAGTGGCCTAAAATCAATGCTCAACTTTGATTTGAACAAAATACACTTTGTTATTGTAGCCATAAGATCAATTTTGCAACTCCTAACATATATATGACACTTACCCTTCACTTATAGTGACATGGTTCATAATTACTGAATTTGTGATTTTCACTTTCTCTCCTATGCTGCAATGTTTTCCGATATTTGACCTCTTGACCCCTGACCTCTCCCCAACCTTGACCCCTTCAGCTACTATGCTATCAGGGCTGACTTGAGACTTTGACTCAAGGGTGGCTGATGGGTGGATATTTCTAGAATCTACTCCCCAGGTTGATATATGTTTTGGAACCTGAAAACAGATATTTTTGATTTTGTGAATCAATTAATGTAACAACGAGGTAACTGAGAGTTCAAAATATTTGTTGCAGATTGAAAATACATTAAAACAAATTATAACATCAGCTTGGAAAATATAATATCATGTAGATTAAGACAAGGATGGCAAATCAAGACTGAATTTCTATGCAAACCTTGTCTCTATCTCTTTTAATTTCTTTAATAATCTGACAAAATACGTCATAATGGAAATATAGTGAACTCACCATTCTGTTGACTTCACAGAATGTTGCTAGGGTATTTGCTCTGATACAGATTCCTTCATTCATAATGTGCGTATAGCATCGTATCTTGTTGCCGTGGTAACAATCATCCATATCTCCCCTGTGATCATTCCATGTTGACATTTCATGCACCAAAGATGTCAGATCATCTTCCTTCACATAGTCATATATATCTAAATATAGACAATAAATGTTAAAGTAGTGTTAAAATAAAAAAAAATATCCTCTACATTGTGTACACAAAAAGTTTAGAACATTTCATAAAAAATTTAGTTATTACATTTTCTATAAAAATTCAAAATGTGAGTGACTTAAGTGCCCCTTATGCTTATGGGAAAATATTTGGACCAGTTTGCACATGACATTAGAATCTTAAAACATAAAATATGGCAGTTTGCAGTGCATTCTACACATTTCAAAGGGAATGTCCCCTATGTCCCACATTAAATTCTACACAAAATCACTTTTGATGTGTGATTGTGTGATAAGATGATAATTCTGAACATCATCATTGCAATCTACATTTTGGCCTTGCACTACCAAACTGAGTGAAGAATTTAGTATGAGACAGCCTCTAACCTTTCTTGATGCCTCCAGACTCCGCCTCTGTGTGCACCATACTATTCTCTGGGTCTGTGTCTTTAGGCTTTGGCTTGGAGAACTGCTTTCTCACAAGGTAGGGAATAAACTCCCCCTTTAATGTTGATATAGACCTAAACAATAACAATCCAATGAGGAACAATTTCCTGCATACATATATTTTCACGAATAAGATCAAATTAAAATAATCCTTGAAAACTACTGTAAACTACTGTATATTTCGCTAATTTTCAGTTTTTGAAATTTCGCGGCTATTAATTTCCGCAGATTTGTCATACAGGATCACTCTTTCGACTTTGATATCAGCCATGGTTGTTCCTTCACCCAATGATTTTGGCTTCTTATTAAGTCTTTTCGTTAGAATGTTCATTTTAATACAGTAATAATAATGATCTCTCTTCTAATTTCTCTTTTTCAAAACTCAAAATGTCACGTTTTTACCTATTATTGCCCAGCAGTTTCCAAAAACTCGCCAAAAGGGCGAAATATAGTAGTGAGCGAAAATTACTGGGAGTACATTACATGAAATATAGTTTATCTTCTAGGGAATATATACATTTCAAAGTTTATATCTCATTCACAAAACATAAAAAATCATTAGGCCTAATTGTTAAATTCTATGATCTTGCAACAATTCCACCAGGTTTACCTGTCTGAAAGTAGCAGATCTAAGACCCATTTCTTCATGATGTATAAATGACCATCCATCAGGCGTGTCTGTATACGCATGTGTGGATGTCTGAAACAAGGGGTATTATAGTCACAATTAGCATTTCATTTTCAAATAATAAAAGTTGATCAATGGACATTTTCCCTTAAAAGGAGATCTTTCAATTCAGAGGCAATGTATCGATCTAAAGATAAAACATTCTTAACATAAAAGTACAGCATGTCAAACAATAATTACTCGTACTATATTAAATGTTCAATCTCAAGCAAATTTGTAACTTAACAAAAGTATGTCTAGACCTTACATTTGAAAATGATATTTACCTTTTTAAAACTGATCTTCTGAATGAAACCTTTTCTTCATAGTCGGCTTCTGATGCCATGAACAACAACCTGTAACCCTTTTCATCTGTTCCAATGAAGTCCCTTTCTGAAGCAAAAAAATAGATACTGGTATGTCATGTATGTCACACTGAAAATTCACACAATAAACATGATATGATAAAAAAATTCAATTGAAAGTAAAATTCCAATTTCTATTTCAGCATGAACACATGTATGATTCATTACACTTTTATTTTTTCAGGAATTAAAATGAAAGTGATATTATCAAAGTTGTAGACTCTCTGTTTGTAAAGTGTGAAATCAGTGATAGATAGGAATTTCTTCATAAATGGTAAATGGACATTACAGTATTTGTAAAAATTTTAATCAGAACATTTCAATTTTTAATTTTGTGTTCAACAATAACATGTAGATATCAATAGGCAAATGTGAAAAATATAACCTATTTAAATAATCGGTAGTTACAATCATGAAAATTACATAGGTAACATCGTACTGATCTACAATGGATAATTGACATAGGTCTTACCTATTTTTTTCTTTTTAGTACCAGGGGATGGTAATTCTCCAGTAGGGTCAGGACTTGGGGCCATCAAACATGTGACTGTGGAGTCATATGTTCTGTGAATGTCTGCCAGCTTATGTAGAGCTAAGTCTGTTACGAGATCACAACTGATTACAAGCACATCAGTCTACAAGTACAACAGAAAATCAGTGGGAGAAAGACAAATTTCATTAATTTTGCCATATAACATTCATTGTCATATACTATCACACATAGTTCACAAATCTGTTCTATTTCTAGGTAAATTCATAAATCAAAAAGTGCATTCTAAATTTCATTTTGAACTAGAGAGAACTGCAATTTATAAATGACCTGTATAGTATCATGAGGTACCTTTATTTTATCCTTGATATGCCTAAGAGAGTCTGCTGTTCCCCAATCTTCTTCATCTGGTATAGGAACTATATCCAGCTTTAGCTTTAGGTCACACATCTCTAGCACCTTTTGGAAGTCTTGTTTATATGTCTCTGTGACAACCAGGATCACCTCTGAAAAATAATAACAAGTAAAAGATAATCATCGGTGGTTTCTCATGGAATTTTCCACTGGGTGCAAAATTCTAATTTAATTCATTCCAACTTCAAAATGTCAACCCAAAAAATGGTCAATGACAGTGTATTGCAATATTTCTTGATATTGAAAATGTTCAGCAAGGAGCAACTGCATGCAAACGGTTCAACAAGGTCCTGAGGTCCAGTTGCATGTCTCTAATCTATATATTATATATATGTCCAATTATGAAGTGTACCATACCTTCAAATCCAGCTGACTTGAGTGTGTGCAGAGGATAATAGACCATGGGGAGATTGGCAATGGGGAGGAGACCCTTAGGTGTCCCTGCAGTGAGATCAGTCATCCTGGAGCCCTTACCCCCAGCCATCACAACTGCCTGGAACTCCATGTTGTCCAAAAATCTGCTACCTGCAAATGTAAATGCATATACATTATACAGTTATTGTGATCTATTCTTTCTTTTTTCAAAGATCATTTGTGCTACACAAAATTGAATAAACAATGAAAGATTATGAGTATTTCAAAATTTACAGATTAGCAAAAGCAATGGGATTTTGACCATTCAGATTTGGGCCAATGGGATTCGGACCAATGTGATTTGGAGCAATGGGGTGACCCCTCCAATACTTGAATAGTTGGGTGCATCGTTTCATGACTCAAGTCTACATTCTTGGACTGAGTAGGTATCACAGCTGTAGTCAGTCTCAGACTGAAAAAATGTGATGCAACAAAATTTCATATGCAATTGCAATTGGAATAAATTTCTTTCATTCGAAGCCTCTATCAAAACGTAATAGGGCTTAATACAGTGACATATCATATGCTGACACGAATGAAGATTAAATTTTAGTTAAATAAATGATACATTACCTGCAATAATGATGTTTGAATCAACTACAAGCCAGATTTTCGAAGCCGGATGTGCTTTAGATTCACAAAAGCTGATACTCGATAGAAATTTAATTGCACTTCCTGCTCACATTTCTGATGAAATTTTTATCACATTTTATTTGATTGTAGAGTATATTCTGTATTGTTTTATAAATAAAAGACATCATGAAGTTGTATACAAACAGTGGAAACTATGAGACTATAAAGATTTTAATTTCAGGCAACATATCTGGACAGAGACTTGAACATGTTGAAGTTCAAAATTCAGGTGAGAGTTTCAGTACTTTATTTGGCTGTGTTTTGTTTTGATCCGATATTCGTTGTAAATAAGCGGCTTAATAAACTAGAAATGTTATAACTAGGCCTTGGAACCGTCTTTCTACTTGGTAAAAAGTCATATCAAGTCCAGAATCCGTACCTCCTTCTTCCCCCTGCTATTACCAATTTGGAAGCGCCCGATTTAACTGAATCACATGATCTAATTATGCGCAATGACTTATACATGATTTCTGTCGCAGTGTTGCGACAGCCGATCAGATTGTGAGTTCTTAATCGGGGGAAATATATATTCTAGATTTTGAAGCCCTGTGATCGGAGGATGGGATGCACTCATCTTGATTCACAAGGTTTCATTTGCTCCAACTTCAGATGAGTTCGCCTGGATATTTAGTATCTGGCAGCATATCATTAGAACTACGTTATTGTCTATACTGTCTATCCCGCGTGCATATCCTGTATCCGCTACCTACCACTAACTTACAGTTGTCATCATCATCATCTTTCTAATATAATTGCTCTATTACAATTGATAAGTATGCTTCGGATAAGTCGGAGGCAGTGAATATGTTAGTCTGTCAAATACATTCATATTCAATCAAAGATAAAAATGTTTGTATGTCTTCAATTGTAATGCTTTCCAGGAATAAATTGTTTAACAGCTTTCAATACATGTATCAGTTCATACTACAAATATATAGCACTCATTGTCATTATCCCAATGAACAAAGTTCAGAAGAGATATAGTGAAGCCGTCAGTCTGTCTGTCAGTCTGTCCATCCAGAAGATAACTATCTATATAGTAGATGGATATTTCCTGAAAAAGTGGGGTGAATAGTTAAACGCAAAAAAATTCAAGAAGGCCACCATTTTAAAAATAATGGGTATTTTTGAAAATCTTCATTTTTTGAAAGGCAATTGAGAGTAGATTGCAAATATTGTATCCTTTTCTGATGCGGGACACTTTAAATTCAAAATGGCTGCCTAATGTGGGATTTTACAATAATTTTCAAATCTTTTCAAAGCATGGCTATAATATACTCAAATTGAAGGGATTTTAGAGAAGAACACAATCATGGTATTCTTTTTCTGATTCATGGCTCAGAAAATTCAAAATGTCTACCAAGAGCAGGAATTTGAGATTTTGAAACTCCTATACTCCTACATTTATCTGATACATCTCTAATGTTTGTCTTTTGATATCTCTGCCAGCCAAATGATTTAAACAAGGATAGAGTAGATGGTAAATGTAACATTGTGACAAATGCAAATTCTTGAATACAGTGTTCATTGGGATTAAATACTCAGTAGAGTTGCTGATTTCTAAGTAGTTAACTTTTGTGTATTTGTTGGTCATTCAACATAGAGTTTCTACTATGAGATATGCTTTCCAGGTGAAGTCAAGTGTCAATTGTTCTCTGATAGATTCCCAGTCCTGGAAGTATCCACAAGCCTTGTTTTGCAGTCACCCAATGCAGCATGCAGGTAGAATTTATGTATAGATTTATAGTGATGTGTATAGATTTATAGTGTCAGTTATGTTGATGAATGATGATCTATAGATTTGGGCACTAGAAATGGTCATATTAACATATTTGCCAATCCATTTTTAATAAATAATGAATCAAAACATCAACAACATGAATAATGTTGCGCTTTGTGTTTTTTGGCTCAGACATTTATTAAGTCCATGGAATTGAGTAATATGATTTCAATAAAATATCAAGGAAATAAATGGTCTTAATTTATTTTAATTCAATTAGATATGTACTGGCTAAAGGAGGTAAAGATATTGATGATATCCATATTGATGAGTGGCTGGAGTGGGAGAGCTCTGTTCTCAAGGTAAGGGTTTTATAACTTTAAATATTGACTGATTATTAAAACTAGATGCTCTTTTTTAATTGTAAAATAATACAAAAATGGTAAAATTCCTTATAATTCAGGATTTTCTTATGAACTCATTTTTTATTAAAATTTGATTTCATGATGAATTTCATTATTTTGTTTTTTTAGACGTGTGATTTCAATAAATCCATATTAAAGATTCTATTTATTTCAGCCTTCATTGCTGCCATATTTAGTGAGTTTACTGAATAAAAGCCAGGTGGATAATAAACTTGCTGCAAATTTGCAACCATGTCTTCAACACATAGAAATGGCACTGAAGAGAACTGGGTACATTTATGGGGTAAGTGATGCATGAATGATGGTCTTTTAGAGTCACATTTGTAGATCACCTTACCTGAATGAAAGGGAAGGGTGACTAAAAACTTTAAAGAAACCCAACAAGAACAACAAACAAACCCAACAATAGGTTTAAGACAAGGAGGATTGATCCCAGCATTCCTTGCTGATTGTCTGATGTCATTGGGGTCGTGACCTTTTGGTCATGTAGTTCACTGGAATTTGTTGAAATTTTATATGTGCCTACTTAGAAGCATATTACACTTTCTTATGACAATATGGCTAGTGTACAACCATTTCGAAAATGGTAGCCATTTTTTTGTTTGTTATTTTACGATTTTTGCTATAACTGTAAAAGTCGTAGAAGGATTTTGTAAAAATGGCAGCCATGGCTGTTTGATTGGATTTGCTATGCTCTGGTATTGCTGTTATCTAGTTCATCTCATATGTTTATTTCAGGCCTCAGTAACAGCAGCTGATATTGTAATGTGGAGCACATTGAGCCCACTTCTATCAGGGAAGGACACTGCAGGTAATAAAAAACATGTACATACACTGTATGTACTGAAGGATTGCAAGGAGATATTTTTGGATTCAATATAATATTGTCAGGCCTATAGCCACCTTTTGCCAAGGGGGTTCACTTTTCAAAAAATTCTATTGGCGGTTCATATTTGACAACTTTGGCCCAAGATCACCTGAAAACTGACAAGAATGGGGAAAAACTGCATGCTTTTGAAAGAATTTTTGGCCAGGGGGGGGGTCATTAACCCTTTTGGCAATGGGCCATAGTGTAACTAAAAGTCACTGGTCCAATGCCTTTTGCAAGCTTGATAGAAATATTTTGAAGCTAGATTAGTGAAAAGTCTGACAGATCAATTGTTCACAGCTTAATATAAGAATATATATATACAAATATGATAGGTTTTATTTAATAGATGTATTACTTCATCAAAATCAGACTTTGGTTTTATAATTGATATGTTAACACATACCTTGTTTCTTCAGCCATAAGTCCCACTGTTCTACCTGCAACCTATGGATGGTTTAAAAAGATGGTGGATGATGCAAGTTTCAAATCAGCAGCTCAAGTTGTAGCTCAAAACAAACCCCTGTCTCTAGAAGTCTTCAAGGTAATACCTTTTGGTTGACTTCATGTTAAATATGTAAAGAAATATAATTTTTGTTGACTCAAATACCGGATATTGATTTTGGTCTGAATTTAATAAGCTAATGCCTTATGGGCATATAATCTCAAGTTGGGTTAGGTATTTCTAATGTGCTGTCATGTCATGTCATTGGTGTAGTTGGCTCACACAGTGAGCCTATGGGATCGACCAGGCGTCCGTCCGTCCGTCAACATTGGCCACACAAATTAAAACTGCTATTCGGATTGAGTCATATCCACATTCATTTTATGCATATCCATAATGCTTATTTGACCTATCATCGCCATTTCCCAAGTTCGCCCAGTTTCCGAGAAATTACGGATTTTGACGTCAAAAAGTCAAATTTTCTGTAAATACTAGACACTTTGTTGAAGTAGAACTTTCAAATAACTTTTAGTAGTTCCTGTATATGCAACGTATGTCCTCTGAAGATTTCAAAGCTCTTGGAATTACAGTTTTTGGTTTTTACTCTATAAAATTTGACAAAAAGTAGGACTAAGTCATTTTCAAGAAACTTTCTCATGTATAAAGTCAATGGCAGGTTTTGTGATTGACAAGTTTCTCAAAGTTTGCCTTATACTTGATCATTTCTTGCAATGAATTACATCATTACTAGATTTAAGCATTCCCTACATATTGCTCAATATATGTCAGTATCAAATTTTTACCGTTTTTGTGATATTTCACGTCAAAAAACAGTAAAAATAAGTTATTTTTCAACTTGCTTCAATTTGACCAAATATTTTTTTGAAAATCATCTACAAGTTGCCAGGAGTTCAAATCTGACATTAGTTTTAGGATTTGATCTTTACTTGACCTTCAGTGACCTTCGAAAGGTCAAAAAAGTTGATTTTTCAAATTGATTTTTGGATGTAAATTTTGGTCAGCTTAATCACAAAAGACCTTACTGAGCTCTGAATTAGTAAAATTTTCAAGGTCAAAGGTCATCAAACTAGGTCACACAACTGTGCTATCTACAATCTAAGTTTCTCAAAGTTCGAGACTACAAATCTAAATCAATATTTTTGTTTGAAAGTCAGTATATACATTCCTCTGAAGGTTCAAACTGTGTGAGCACAGGAACGTGGGTCCTTCATTTTTGCCATAAGAATACATTTCTACTGATTGGTTATTTCTTTCATGAAATTTTGGGCATCAGTTACAATAGAATAAAGGATGATGGCAACTTTGATGAATTTGTTGAAATGACCAAGTATGCATGGAAACAGGCTTTATCATGTGAATCAAAGGGGTTCCATTTACCAAACTTTTGGAGGGGAGTGTATGTCATCCATGTTTCATTGAAATATATCAGTAATATACATGTATATGATTTGCATATACTATACATGTACGTGCACAGCAGTGTTGTAAAGTTACCTTTTGATACATTCTACAAATAAAGGATTGTTTGTTACAGCATAGGGATTAGTCATATTTGTTAACTTATTGTCCCAACCTATAAGTGTGATCTAAAATACTAACAAATAATAGAATGAAAATGTTCTCATTTCTACCTGTACTTGTAGGTTGGCATTTTATGTCATGGCAATATACAATAAACATGATATAATTTGATGGTTAGAAAAAATATGAGTATATTTAAAATATATTTGTTATACACTGTGAAACTACAAGGCATATGCTTGATAGAAATACATAATTAGTCATACTTCTAAAGGTCTAAAATTATTAAAGACTATAACCTAACACTTTTGTATTTAATATATATTTGTTATACAGAATGAAACCAGAAGGCATATATCACCATAATACATTGATTAGTACAAGATAGAAATTATCTAATCGTAGTTCTAATACTACCAAACATTATTAAAGACTATAACCTAGCACCTTTGTATTTAATATATATTTGTTAAACAGAATGAAACCAGAAGGCATATATCAGCATAATACTTTGATTAGTACAAAATAGAAATAATCTAATCATACTTCTAATACTACCAAACATTATTTAGAGGTTATGTCACTATCGTGGCATATATGCCCGAGGTCTCAGTGATATATGGCCCGACCTTGGGAGGGACATTGATCTCTGAGAACCGAGGGCATATGTGCCACGATAGTGACATAAACGATTTATAACATACCTATGATGATGTAGACTGGTCAGAGAGTACCGTTTTCTTATAGAATTGACAAACAAATGGTTTGAAAATGATTGAAATGAGAGAAAAATTGCTTGCGCAGTTTTATCTTCGATTGATTGGTTATGACGTCAGCGCCTTGACCAATCAGAAAGTTAGCGGGCGCGGGCTTTTCAAAACTTATATTGGCACGCTGTCTTGTGTACACTTTGCACTATACATCATCATAGGTATGTTATAATAAAGACTATAACCTAGCACTTTTGTATTTAATATATATTTGGTGTACAGAATGAAACAAGAAGGCATATATCAGCATAATACATTGATTAGTACAAGATAGAAATAATCTAATCATACTTCTAATACTAAGTACAAGATAGAAATAATCTAATCATAGTTCTAATACTACCTCCGGGGGAGGGGGGGGGGTTCGCCCAAACCCTGCGAATCCCACCTACGGGCCTGCATTGTAAAAGATTTTAATATTGAAAAAGAAAGAGATACCGGATACATACATACATCACAAAAAATGACATAATTTTGACAAGTTGTTCTCCAGTTCTCCTATTCTATATAAATTTAAAGCTGAATTTCTGAATCTGTGGAATATACTGGTACACCTTAATAAACATAGTCTTTCTTGTATATTTTGAAATATATCCACCTCTTCAGTCTGAAAAGTCCATAAAAGATGATTGTCAAGAGAGGTATACCAACTATTAACAACCCAAGTATAACACCCACGGCCACTGGCAGGGTTTTAGGGTTGTAATTTAATATGGAGTAGACAATGTTATTTTTCTTGTCAAATGACCAGTAGATGACATTAAAAATAATGTAGATAAATCCATATATCATTGGATATATCATGTGTAAGATTCGTATTGGTGTGCCACTTATGACAAAATCAATCACCATGAGGACTGTATTAAGGCCATGTCTGTTGAAGTTATAATGGTCGAGGCCATCTTTGGGATCATGTACTGCTCCAAAGTAGATGCCAGTTACTATAATTGAAAAAACTAGTATGACATCATAGAGAATCCACGATATGATCATATACCATGGTACCAATGTGCACTTTCCACTATGCTCAGCTTTTTCTGGATCCTGTTCAGTTGTGTTTTGCTTAGGGGCTTTAGTTTCTCCAGTCTCTAATTCAATTGTGTCAAATCCCAAGTTCTCTTTGGGTTGTTTTTCTGATTCTGCACTGGCTTCTGGTTTTCGTACGTATGTGATAACAGCTACTATAAATGCTACTAGGAAATGCAATGTCAGCATTGTGTACGACCAGTGTGTCAAATAGATTCCCATTTTTGCTTTGTTTTTTGCCTCCGCAACAGCTGCTATCCAATATCCGAGAGTGTATCCGCACAAAATGAATCTGTACACCAGAAATATCAAAGGATGCCATTTCCACTGAAGAAAAGAAAAGAAGAATATTAGTACAAGAGCCAAAACTAAAAGTTTTAAAACATCATATTGTCCTTCAGATTTGTGCACCAGAAAATCTTGAAAAAATGAAAAAACTGAATTGAAAAGCGGTCTATTTTCCTTTTCATGACCGCCATTTTTGTTTCAATTTTACAATTGACTCTTATGAAAGGTAAGTGGGTGTAATTAGTTCAGCTTTATGGTACACACTGAACGGTTCAGTTGTCAAAGATTGAAAGGGGGAATATAATATCTATTTTTGCATTTGCCAAAAATTCGAATGGAGGCCTGATTCTCTCAGCTTTCCAATTGTGTATTGAAACCTCAGTGCAGATGAGGCCATTTATTTGACCCCAGTTTCTGCTACTATGCTTTTTATTGGATAAAGAAAAGGAGAACACCCAAAATCTACCCTTTGCATTCGTTTGACTTCACTTCTTAAAAGAGAGCTTCGTCTTCACTCTTTCAAACTAAAATAAACCTGTGAACTCACCGCGCCAATCAATGTTCGTCGGCCAAATTTGACCGACGTTCTATATATGGTCATTCCTTCTGACGTCATCGTTTAGCCCGGAATTGACCAATGACATGCGCATATTTAATTAGAACGCATTTGGCGTATGTTTCTTCAAGCTCGCTGATTGGTGGAAGAAAGGTCAGCGCGTAGGTCAGAAGTAATTTATTTCCCAAACTGTCACCGGTACCCGTCGTGGGGGTGGGGCTACTAAACTGCAATATGGTCTCTACTAGGCAGAGTGTAGTTTAACTAGACTCTGCACGCAGGGTACCCAAAATCCGAAATTATGTCATTAGTCCACAATTCAGTTTCAGCTCCCTGCATGCAGACTATATGTCTTTATGGCAGCTGTAAGGTTCAGTGAGTTCATTGAGGAAAGTATATGCATTATGCAACATGTCAACATAACCAGCTTAAGGTATGATTATTCAGAATAAAGGGCTACCAAATTCAAATTTTAGGTGAACAACCTTAAAGGAATGTTTTGTTCATTCATGCAATGTTATCGCATTGACTTTGTGTAAGTTATGTAATCAGTATGATTACAAGCTGGTATAAATGGTTCACATATTTCACTGGCATGTAGCGGCCCTGATATCGATAAATTCTACACGCAATATAACCCGATTTTAGATGCTTGGTTAAAACTTTACACGAAAAAGCCTCGATATCCGGGCATTTACTCTTACACTGAACTGAAAATAGCATCGTCTAAACGTGTATGTCTTGGCTTCCGGGTAAGTTTATCAACATTTATACTCAATTGAAAGAGCAGTCGTGCTTATATCGTGTACCAGTTTGATTGTTTTATATGTGTGTGTATTTATAATATGATAGTCTAGTAATACCGTGTCGTTAGAACAAGTGCTAGATATCGAACTGATGACCTGAAATTAGATTATTGGACTGATCGCGCATCTAATATTAGATGATTAATTTGCATTGAATCTGATATTAACTTGCAACCCAATACTACAGTAAATACCATGACTTTACATTAGAATGATAACACGGCCTCATATTCTAATTCATTATACGTCCATTGCAGGCCAAAAATGTTTCAATGGGGATATTGTAATGCACACGAGAATACATTCGATTCGTATATATTGACACCCCAGTTGTCCGAAACCCAGTTGTCCGAAACCCAGTTGTCCGAAACCCAATTCCCCGAAACCCAGTTGTCCGAAACCCATTACTCCGAAAAATAAAGTCATAATTTACCAGAGAAAGGGGGGGGGGCGTAGCTTACTTAAGCTTACGTCAGTTTCATGCCATGTATTTGGCCAAATTAATGGCATGGACGCATTCTGATATTCATAGATCTCTCTCTCTCACTTTGAATTGCATCCATTGTATGGCGTTACCAGAATGGCAGGAACGGGAGATTTATTTTACATTGTGATTCTAAAAAAGGTTATTAAAACACAATATATATTACGGAACAGTTTATCTTATCTTCTTCAATCTCTTTTATATAGGCAAAATAAAATGAAACATTTTGAAACAGATAAAATAAGGTATCGCATAGAACTTTAAGAATAAAACAGTATACAAATTACGTTGTCAAAATATTTCGTCGCATTTAATTTCTTAGTCTCAGTCTCTTATCAAATCGTAAAAGAATAAAACATTCTAAACTTAATCACTTGGGATTTATGTTTCGGCATTCGTTTCAGGCATTTGTTTTTTATGTTCTTCTCCTGAAATGTATTTGTTTGACAATAATCAGAGAAAGTGCGTATACGTATAAATATGCCACGCAAACAAACGGTGTGACTTCAATTTCTTGTCTGTCTGAGGACGTATTGGGAACGAGGTAGAATTAAAGAATTCTTATGAACAAATGTATTGGCTAAGTTAATTTCTGATGGATCTGGATAAAATATATTTCAAAACTTTGTCAACACTAGATAACTTCATTTAGTCAGATATAGTATCTTGATATATTTGGCTATCATGCGTTTAAAATACGTTCCTAAAACTATGAAGACGTTGGGTGAAAATATTGCTATTGTACGTTCGAAAAGTATTTGGTTGTATTTTGTAGTTCTCAAGTTACCCATGAACTTTCGTGGGCTAATTAACGTCTTGAGTTAGCATATTTAGCCTAATTTTGCAATGATGTCAACGTGATTCAAATGTTATGCTGTCGTGATTCGCAGAGGTTGCGACAAGATTCGTTTTAAGAAATTGTATTTTTTGATAAGATCCCCTAATTTTCGGAGAACTTGGTTTCAGACAACTGGGTTTCGGAGAATTGAGTTTCGGACAACTGGGTTTCGGACAACTGGATTGACCCCTATGAGGGTTGATCATACATCAATTGAACATGGAGATTTTCCTGTACACTTTTCCCAAACATGTGGAATAGACTAGATGCGAGTAGAAATTATCTTGATTTATCCTATGCCAAGTAGGGTTTTAGGGAGATAAGTTGGTAAGATATATCCCGTATCCTGATTTTGAGGTTTCCATATCAAGAACCTCCACATCTCCCGTCATATCTCCCGCTTCGGTGCATATCTTCCCGCTTCGGGGCGTATCTTCCCGCTTCCAAAAAGTGGAAATGCAATAAAATGACTTTGCATATGAATGATTTGTTTATTTTTTACACCTTGTACTACTGAAAACTCTACTTGGTATAGGATAAAGCAGTTATGTACGGTCGGTTTGGATATTGGGTTCATCCCTCGTGAGATATGCACATCTACTTTCTGTCCCTACGGTCCCTCAGGTAGATATGCATATCTCCCTCTGGAAAAACCCCGTATCCAAAACCTCCCAGTACATAACCCTTATTTATCCCATGGTTACAAGGATATAGATCGAATATCACGTGAAGATATAATTGATACGTGGATGAAGATATATTTTAGCAAACAATTCCCAAATCATCGAATATCACTTTTGAAACCATCGAATATCACTTTTTGAAAGGTGATATTCGATGGTTTCAAATTGATATTCGATGGTTTCAAAAGTGATATTCGATGGTTTTGATTTTTTCAATTTTTTTTATTAATTCAGCAAAACGATTGTTTATGAATACCTAGCAAGAGCTCAAAAAGTTCAATCATCTATTTATCTCAAAAAGACCTCAAAAATTGAGCTTGAATTAGAAATATGTCTTCTAAAATCTTCCTCGCCTGGACCTGATGGGATTCTACCATCACTTATTAAGTCTGTAAGACAGTTTTTAATTGATCCGCTCTTGTATATATTTAACTTATCTTTTAAATCTGGTATTTTCCCAGACGCCCTCAAATTGGCCAAAGTAACACCTGTATTTAAAAAAGGAGTCACTACAAATCCTTCGAACTATAGACCAATTTCAGTTTTATCGGTATTTTCTAAATTGTTAGAAAAGCTCATGCACGCCAAACTCACTGGTTTTTTAGAACGTTTTGAAATTATTTTTACTTATCAATTTGGATTTCAGAAATTCAACTCTACCTACATGGCCATTTTATATTTCATTGAACAAATTCGAAAATCAACTGATTTGGGGAAAACGAGCATTGGCATAACATTAGATTTTTCCAAGGCCTTTGACACTATTAATCATGACATTTTGATACAAAAACTTGAATATTATGGCATCAGAGGAATAGCTAAGTCCTGGTTTGAAAGTTATTTAAAAGACCGCAAACAATATGTCACCATTAACAATTATGAATCTAAACAATCATCTCTAAATTGTGGTGTTCCGCAGGGCTCGGTGCTTGGACCACTATTATTTATTCTTTACATAAATGATCTGCCTTTTGTTGACCCTAATCTAAAATTTATTATGTTTGCTGATGACACCAATCTTCTTGATAGTGATTATGATTTAAATGAACTAATGCAAACTTGAATTCAATAGATGACTGGATAAAAGCAAACAAACTTTCACTTAATATTGGCAAAACCAATGCTATTCTATTTGGACCCCAAAAAAATCAAACAAATCTGAATCTCAAAATACGCAATGAGAACATAAATTTCCGGGATAAAATTGACTTTCTTGGAATTATTATTGATAAAAACTTGAAATTTAAAGAGCACATAAAATCTATTGAAACAAAGATTTCTCGCGTCATTGGTTCTCTTTATCACATTAAACATCTACTTCAAATAGACAGTTTCAAAACAATTTACTACTCATTGATACACTCTCAATTAAATTATTGCAACATAATCTGGGGTAACACATTTAAATCATTTTATGATCGTCTACATAAACTGCAGAAACAATTCTTAAGGCTAGCTTTAAATAAGGATAGACTTTCTCACTCCGCTCCCTTATTTGAAGATCTTAACATATTAAATATTTTTGATGTCAACAGATATTGTACTGGTCAGTTCATGTACAAAATCTTTAATAAGCACCCCAGTCTTCCAAAAAATCTATTTCAAGACTTGTTTGATATCAACATTAATATTCATCATCATTACACAAGACAATTGCATTATTTTCATATCCCT